TTCCTTCAGTCTCGTGGCAAATATAACACCTAATTGCTTAGCTTACATACATTTCTACAACACAGAAGAAGACGCAGCCTGCGAAATAGGGAGCAGCACACAACCTGCTTTACCTATTACCTGTAAAGGGATATTTTTTAATTCTCTAGTCCATGCTTTTATGATGATGACTGCTCTGTAATGAAGTGTCTATGGCTGAGCGGCCTGTGCCTCAGCCTCCGCAGGCAAAGCAGTGCTCTGGGCAAGGCACAGCACATTCCAGTCCCCAGGCTCCAGGCTGTTGTACAAATAAGGAAGCAAAAGGTCCAAGCTGGACTGGCTTCCAGTGCAGCAGGAATAGTAGTAGGTGGATGAATAAAGCAAAAGGAGAGATTAATAGGAAAAAAAGTCATCATTAAAATTTCAAAGAGAAAAGCTAGAGCAGGACTAGTACATCAGCAAGAACAGCACTTCAGCTCTGAAACAGCTTGTTCATAACGGGAAATATGGTGGCATCCTTTATCCTACATAACACTTTAAAGGAGTGCAGAGGAGAGGCACTACCTTGTCTCAGTTTTTCTTCACAGAAGAAAGCTGTGAAGTTGAGCAGGTCACAGGTGTGCTTGTCAAGGCCAGCACCCACAAGAAGATGTACCCACTCAGTGCTAAAGGACAGAGTGTCCCTGCAGCAGGCAGGGACAGGTCAAGTGCTTGCAGACACAGCACTGCCCAGCCTGGGCTGATAGGAAAGATTTTCTTGGAGAAAGGTGATTTTCAGTTCTGTTTCTAGGTTAGGTACTCCTTTACTGGAACAAGTAACCAGTCAGGACACTCACATGCAGGAAGTGAACAAGCCACCACCAGCTCAGAAACACCCTCTTTGTAAAGGCAGTGAGCACTGGCACATCTGAGGCCAGCAAACACATCGACAGTAGTTTGATTACAGCTGTTTGGCCACAGCACTTGATGAACCAGACAAGCTGACCGATGTTTAATGAGTATCTTCTAATGCATGACATAAGAAATGACAGCTTTTAATTATGGTATTTATTTCTTTAGAGGACAGCAGTTTCTTTCACATTATGAGTTAACAAACTACTCTGAACAGATTTGCACTATGTAAGCAAATCTAAACTAGTTGTGAAGATAGTTTAGCTTGGAGCTTTATTTTTTTGCCCGTACTCTCACTTTTCAGCTTCATACATTTCTTTCTTCTGGTGTGCTGAGGCTGTAACAGTGCTTCTCATGATCCAACAAGGGTTGGATCTCAGATAGGGCACTCAGTGTCACCAGAGTAACAGTCCCAAACTGAGAAGAAGTTTATTTTTGTATTGTGAAGATGCTGGTTGAAGGAACATAGTTCTTGACTTCAGCACTCAGGTGCTTGTATCCAGTGAAGCTGGACACAAGCACACCCCTAAGGAGCTCACACATAGAAGCTACTCTGGAAAAGCCAGAGAAAGCTGCCATTTTGTAATGTTACTTAACTCTGTCTGTTTACAGAGCAAATTATCCTTAAAAAATATAGCCAGGCCTTCATCTGTATTGTAAGAAGTGCAAAAGAAGAAAAAGAGAAAAGAAAAAACAACCCTAACCCACACTCTTGGAAGCCTGGCTCTCTCCCAGGTCTCTGGCCAGGATTCCTGCAGTTCTGAGTGCCTGTTTCTTTGCTATCTTGCTTGTCTGTCACACCTGCTTTGTCTGGTTGCCTTCAGCGTTTTGCATTTACTTATTCCCACACTAAGGATCTCTCTCCCCTTCCCCAGCCAACTTTATTTTAGTGCAATAAGCTGCAAGATGAGGTACCAAGAGAAATAAAACTGACACTATTCCTGCTTGTTCCACTTTGCAGTTCTGAGTTAGATGTATTCAACACATATATCTTTTATTTTTTCAAAGTAGCAGCTGAGTACCTTACCAAACTGAATCCATTTGGGGAAGTTGTAGGAAACTAATATTAGAGCTGCCATTTAATTCTCAAGGCAATAAAAAGGACTGAGAGGCCAAGTTGCCTCTGAATGTCTTTCATGTTGGTTTGTTACACAGTGTGAGCTTGTTTTACAAGTGCTCTGTTTACAAGAATGCTGGGGGAGCTGGAGGGGGGGTGTGGGGATGTTCATTTAAGTCCCACATTCACATAGGGCTACTTTTGTAAAGGCCTGATCCAGTCCTACCAGCTGCTTGCCCACAAAACTTCGCAATTGTGGAAGCTAATTAAGATTCTTCAGAGGAGCTCTCCTCTCCCAGCGGCTGCAGTAGCCTCATCAGACATGCTGTCCCTCCCCCTGGGCCCGGCAGAATGCCCTACTGTGCTTGTTCTACGTTATGGCTTATGAATTAACCAATTGATTCTGAAAATATCATTACTTTAGGGCTAAATAAAGCTCTTCCCTTAAAGGGGAAAAAGCCTGGGCTCTCCATAGGAATAAACTGATACTGTATTACCTACAAACTCCCTTCCCTCTGAGGCTGCCAGTTGAGGATTCACTTGCCAGGATACAAAGGGTTCAGTACAAAGGGAATTTATCATGGATTTCTGTGAAGATGGGGAGGAAAGCCAGGGCCCAGGCAGTAAGCGTGACCTATCCACTTGCATGTAAATAAAGCTTCCTGCAAGCAACTCCGATTCAAAAAAAATTAGTTTACATGAATTGACTCTGTATATTTGCCTTGTCTTTTTTGTGTCCACTTCTCTCTCCAGCTTCAAAGTAAAGAGACCCATAACTGGTATAGATCAAGCATATCTGCAAGTTGCCTGGTACTAATGCTGTGTAGCTGAACTACAGAGCTGAACACAGCTCCAGTGCTGGAGCAAACTCAGCTGGCAGCGATATATGATGTTGGCCCTCCACTATCTTTGAGTGCTTATGGCCACAAAAATGTATATTCAAGCCTTAAATTGGTTTTAAGCCAAAACCAAATCTGATTTAGAGCCTAAACTGAGGAATATATAAAATTAACTATGTCTCATCTAATACAAATAGCTGTGTCTGTGCAAACCCCTGGTTTTGAATATTTAAAAGAATGCTAACTGCAGGAACAAGACAAGAACTTTCAAGCAGTAAAAAACTCCAATGCGGTGACTTACACAGTTTTAAATTGGTCACAACAAATGTACCATCAGATTGGACTTCATCCTCCTCCTCCCGAATGTTTCAAGTGTTTACCTACACCTCTTTCAATTAAAAAGAATACCCTCCCATCCCCAAACTAAAAATTAGAATATTAAGAACACTGCATAAAACCATACTATATATTTGTAATAACAAAATGCTTTATTTGGGGGGAAAACAAGGAAAAGTGTGACATCCTCATTATCAAATTGCTTTAAAAAGGCATTCTTCCTTTGAAAAAGGTAACACTCGTACAAAAAACGTGACCGGTGAACAAGCCCTCTCATTTAGCAGTGGGAATTCTTCCTTATTTTACAGCCAAAGTAAGGATTTGAACAACATACAGCCACAGATTTCAACTTTGCTGGTATTTTCCAGTAGCTTGGGACATGGCAGCCACTCAGCACTGCTCCGGTGTGACGACACACCGTGGAGATGGGGCTTTCACAGCTCTCACACAGGTCGCTTTGCAACAAACCACAAGACTTCACCATTACCACAAGAAGACACTGAGAAAGCCACAGGGTAACTAATCTTCTCGTTTATCTCCAAAAACTTTTCATGCAAGCCCTATGCTCATGAAATTCTCGTACCATTCATCTGATTACGCCTCAGTGCGTCACCACACATCCCCTCTGCTGTAAGCCAGGGCTGTGTGTGGAAGGTACACAGCAGATCAAAGGCTACTGACATACAACCACTTCCTCAACGCAACTGCTTTCTGTACAGTAGGTTCCACGTTAGGATGTGTTTTAAAGACTGTAAATTTATATCCATAAATTACTTCTGCCCTCTCTGAACCTTATGTTAGCATTTAAGTTGTTAAAGAAAGGGACTGGGAAGTTCCTAAAATTGTCAGGTTATAGAGCAGGCATTCATCTTTTAGTTCAGTGTGACACTGAACTAAATACGTGACACCCATGGTATCCACCCATGCTAAGGGGTAAGATACATTGGTCTTGTTTAAAGGGGGTTCATGTTGTCTGAAGTGTGAATGGTAAACTCTAAAAGAACTATTGGTTTTCTTTATTCAGGTTAGACATAACAAATATGTCAGATACAGCAGTTAGTCTAGAAAAATACATTTAAAAAAATCTTCAGCAGACCATGCTCCCTGTAACAAAATCTTTCAAAACCAATTTTACAAATTATTCTACATTAATGTAAAAAGAAAATCTTAAATTTAGCATCATGGATTCCACCAAATATCTATCTATCTATCAAAACATGACTTTCACTATTTGTAGGTGTTAGAATTCATAATACATTTTTCTAATGTATCCTGTACATATTAAATAACCTAAAAGGCTCCTCTTGTAGTGCATTAACCATTTAGCAAGCACACTCAGTATTTCTCCAGTACCATTTGCATTACAGTTATTTGCCTGCAAATGTAATTAACATCTAAAAGTGCACACAGTTAGATCCCCTCCCTCCCCATAACCTGTTTCCCTGCTGAAACCCAGACATCCACTGGAAACATTATGCTACTGTAGCTAATCTACCCATGATTAGAAATGTGTGACTAAAGTGTTCTTAAACTATACAGGGACTGAATTATATACAAGAATCAAAAGGACAGCTCATATTTACATCAAGAATGAACTTCCACTACCACAGCATTATACCATGAACTCAATACAGTGTTACAGTCGGTGTTTACTTAGGACTTCAGATTTAGATCAGTATAACACAAAACTTAGCTCAAGAAATACCCTGAAAAAAAGAACATGTTTATTAAATATTACTTCTGTTATGCCATAAGCCATATCCATTGCTGGATATTCTTACAAGTTCAGTGTTTGAAATAGTGTAATAGTGTGCTGCTCTATGAAGCAGCTAAGAACTTCTAGAAAGGTTGCTGGGGAAAAAAAGGAAACAAAGAGAAGTGAAAAAAAAACCAAAAAAAAACAAAAAAAGGGGGGGAAAAAAAAAAAAAAGGAAAAGGGGCAGCAGATACCAAGTGAAGCACTAGATTTGAATAACTAAACCAAACTGTTAGCGCAAGTCCAAGACAGGCACCACATGCAGAAACCCCTTGGAAAAGTGTCATAGAGATCTGAGTAGGTTGTAATACACAAGCTTAAGGTGTTTCTTCACTGAATTTTTCCATACTATTTGGCAGGACTTTTCCCTACCAAGTGGAAGAATTTTGAGATTAAATTCCAGATTATCCAGTTTGAGATTAATGGCTTTACTCTCCAAGAACTCCAGTGTATGAACCTATATTACATTTTTCCAATGCTACTTGAAAAAGGCAAACTATAAACTTTTCAATTCACTTTTTACATTGAACTTCTCAAAGAAATCCAAAGTGTTGTCTTTAATTCGCATTAAAGTGGTCAAACATTTCTCCTGTTTCTTCCCCCCCCCAAAAGTGCAAAAAATGAGTTGCTGCTTGGTCCACAAACATAAAATAATTCCTTCTGATGGAGTACTGCTGCCAACTCATCACTTCCAGTTTCTACTTCAAGAAAAACGTCAGCGTCCAAAGATGGAATTCAATTCCAGTAGAATTAACTCTACAATCTGATTCTGGTATACTGTGTGGACTGCTATGTTACCAGTCTCTTTCTCTGGTTTTAATAAGGTTGGACCAAAAACTATCGCTATACTTTGATAGGTCATTCGGTTCTTTTCTCCATTTTCTACAACTCTGAAAGACAAAAACATACACAAAAAGAGACTTATCAGTGTTAATAGGATGACAGAAAAAGACCCAATCCAAAGCCAAAGACTAGTCATAGTATTTTGTAATGTCTTGTTACTAGGACATGCAGCTGCTGTAATTTCCCTCTCTACAAAAGTTTTGTTTTGAAATGTTATTCCTGGTCCTCTCACAATCCCTCAAACATAAGGGCTTGGCAGTAAACATCACAACTATGAAGCATACTGTCTAAGGTCTATTTGGTGCTCTGCAAGCTCACATAAAAACAGACTGACATATTGCTCATAACAAGTCCAATATAGGAAATAAAAATGCAGTGGAAACAGCCATCTAGTACTTTCAACCAGATTATTTAGCTTTAAGAGAGGGTCAGCAATACGAAGTCTTTCCTTCTATCTCTTACTTACCTCTTCAGGTGTCTAAAGAGTACCTGCATAGTGTCCTGATTTGGTTTTGGCAACTGTTTTATTAAATCTTTAACAGCAGGGACACGCTGCCTTGGCTCTTGCTCTGCAAAAGGATGAGGTATACAAACAAAAATTCAGTATTTTTGTTTAAAACTTCGGCATAAAATTTAACAGGCTGGGAATAAAAGCCATGGTTTGCAGTGGCAATATGAGATAGGACACTGCCACCTCCCGACCGGCCCCTGCATTGCAGACGGGCAATTCCACGGTAGTTACCGCCGTTTATAATCAAAACATTCTTTTTATGTCCAAAATAATTAAAACAATCGAGCAGAACTCGTACAAACACCACATCCACATTTTTCAGACTTACTAATTGCATTGACAAAGTCATTGAAGTGATTGTAAGTGAACAGCGGCTCTGGCAATTCTCTGAAAAACATCTTTAAAGCTCCTGTGATGACATGAATATCTTCCCATTTACTGTCATTCAAGTCCAGTTTCTCATCTGAGAGAGAAAAATGAATAATTAGTGCTAATAATTTAACTATAAAAGCTTTTTTTTTGTTTTAAATAAACTTAACTATTCTTTTGTACCTATTGCTTTTAAAGCAGCGAAGACTTGCTCCACTTCAGCCCCTTTTGTAACCCATTCTGGGATATAGAGCTGTGGCAGCATAAAAAGGGATACAAAACCTCAATTGCTACAGGCAGAGATGGCTAAACTCTGCCTACTGCACTACATGCAGCTCCCCTACACTGAGGGCATTTTCCAGAAGGGAACAGGAGTTGCTGACATAACACAAATTTTTTTCTTGTCAATTAGGAAATGAGAGGTCAACTGTGGATGGGCTACTGTCCCCTTCCTAGTTGCACCGAACAAAACACTATGATTTTGCCAGATGAAAGGGTTTTCTACACAGAGCATGGTGAAGAGGAGTTAAGCCCCTCCACACTAAAAGGCAGTAGCAAATCTCACTAAAAAAACCCCCATTAACTTACAATTTTAATGCTAGTGGAAGGTTAACATGCTTGCTGTTTTTCCATAAGGTATGGAGTTATTTTGTCTGAAATAATCCCCTCTCCTCAAATTCTATTACCACCTTTCTTTAGAATTCTGTTCTAGTTATGCCTCTATGCTCCACATGAGACCAAGCCTCCAGGTTATTGGGTTTTTCAAGTGGTGTATATTACATACTCAGTTCCACAATTCTGAAGTAACTTTACTTTGAAGATGGCAGTAATTTCTCATGAAATACTACAGTTATAGAGAAATTTTTTTCCTGAGTTTTCTATGAATTTCAACCATCTGAAAATATATGCAATTGTAATGTAGTTGGAAGAAGCTTACCATGGTTGACTGCAAATCTTAGCTTCTGTATCACTGCAAGATTGCCACTAACTCTGTATAAGCCATCAATATCTAATCCTGAAACAAAGAGATAAATCCATTTTAATACCTCACACATATTTGAATTCTAAAATCATTAGGCTGCTTCTTTATAGGTCTACTCAGCAAAATTAAAAACAAAAGAAACCCACCTTGTAACAAAGGGGGGGGAAGTTAAACTAGTTTTTTTTGATGGGCAGGGTTTATAAGAAGAGGTTTAATTTGCTGACAGAGGTTTGGTAGGGCCAAGTTCAAAGTGGTCTCTATAACTTCCTATGCAAGCAGAAATGAGGCAACAGCTCCAAGTTTCCCCAGTGAGACTCATTATGTCTTCTTTAAGATGCTCTTGGTGGGTGGGCAGGGAATACACGGGAGTCCAACATGCAAGAACCAAGTATTTTGTGGAAACAATGTTCAATTTTTTTACGTATGGTTAAGAAATCCAATCAAATCATGCATAGAGAGCATCTCAAAGTTGTCAAGTGACCAGGTTTGCATAGAGAAGGAATGCTGTGCATGCACAGAGCTACCCAACAGCCTACAACACTAAAATGGGTAGCCCTTGCCTTAAAGGATTGTACATTCAACCGGAAAAGAAGAAAACTGTGTCTCTGTGCTTGTTACTGCAGTTACTCAGCAGTGATTAGGAGGTAAGGAATTTATTTAAAGAGTCACTTGAATACAGCATGTGAGTCAGTGCCACTGAGCAGGTGAGTGTTGCCAGAATACCTGCAAGTCCCTGTAGCTCCTCACGGAGTTGTCTGATGCAACAGAGCACAGTTACCAGCACCATCTGACATATCCCTTTTCCCCATAATCCACTAGTCATTCCTTTACAGAAAGAACTGATTTGAAGTGTATTGGCAGTAGGAAGAAGAGTTGGAGAAGTGGGGGGAATAAGCTGTTCATTTCTGTCAGCTTCCCCTCAGGTATTTAAAAAAGGAAAACTTCACTATCTTCACTGCAGTCCTGTCTTTAAAATAAAAAAGAAATAAAAAAAAAAAAGGAACAAAGCAGAATAACCTCTTTCTTACAACCTGCAGATCACAGGTGGAATAAAACCTGCTGTCACAGGCAAGGTGGCAGTTTGTCAAGCTGCAGTAAGGCAATGGAAGCAGTTATTTTTCCCCTCCCAGGTCATAAGATAACAGCATTGAGAAAGAGGTCTACAGGCTGCAACAAAATCCTAAATGAAGTTTCCATGAAGATGCCTTAGAATTCACATGTATTCCCCCTGTAACACTTACCCTGATTCTCAAGAGAACGTTCTCAGATTAACGGACTGGAATATATCTGAATGATGATTATGGAGATGCCATAATCCCCTCTCAGTCATCTTTTCCAAGAGATAGGGCAATGACAACAGCAAGAAACAAGCAAGAAAACCAGCAGAGACTACAGCCATGTCAGGAGTCACAACCAACATATTTTCAACAAAGATTTAAGGTGTCCTTTACAGCAGACAACCCAGAATGTCACATGTAGCTTTCAAAGTTTTCTCAGTTATTAGGTAGGAGACACTTATTTGCAATGAAAGCAAAGAAAAATTGAGTCAATGTGTGGGCACTGATAATCTCCAGAATTGCATAAAATTTAGCAGTCGGTGTAACTGTCTGAAGGGCATCAAACTGATAGACTCATCTTCTGGCAGTCAATGTGTATACACAGCAGGAACACAACCTCTTCCGAGAAGTTTGTTTCAAGGAAGTTTTAATAGAAGTGATTGTTAGCATGCTTAAACCTTCAAAAAATGAATGGTTGCATTTTGTTTCTCTCTTAATCTGAGAAGATTACTACTTCTTGTAATCCCTCTTTCCTTAGAGCCTTGCTGCCAGGAGGCTGCTCTGCCTTCTCATCAGCTTGAAATATACCGAAGCAGACCAGCTGCTCAGATAGAAGATTTCTTCCCCTCTTCCCATTTTGGATTCCACCTATGTCCCCATTCTTGAAAACGCAATGCTAACTACAGATACAAGTTTCAGATTATTTTCCCCAAATAACTCTACAGCATTTTAAGATTAAAACATTCCAAATTAGGTAAGAGTGGTGAGCAAGAGAGATTTGAAAACAAAAAACTTCAACCATACCATGTTCCTCAACATGCTCAATGCACAGCTTCACGAACTTTGGCACCGTGCCGTTTTCTCTTTGACACAAGCTGGTGAGATTTGAACCAAAAACTTGATCTGGAACCAAGTAAAGAGACTGATTTACGGTGGAACAGGGACCAAGTGACAGAACTAGTTCAGGTTAAAACAAACCTCTACAAAGGGCAAAGACTACTGGATACAATTGTCATGGTATTGGAGTGGAAATAGGAAAGTTTTGAAAAGAGTTTGCAGCAGCTCCCAGCGAGAAAAAGCTCCCAGTAAGAAAGAGTGTCAGCAGTTACACAAATGTGAACCTCTGAATAAGGAACTTTTGCTACTGAAATCATTTTAACCCATCAGGTGGTACTTGTAAGAGTCATACAGTTAATAATATAATGAGAAATGCAGTGGATTCAAACGTGTCCTGTTACACTCCATTCCTGTTCTGACTTCAAAATATATTTATTGTAATCTTTGTTAAAAATGTGAACAGAGATAATAAGCTTTAACTAGAGTGAAAGCTTTAGGTATTCCTTGGGGAAAAACCCTTTAAAATTTCTTTCACTGAACCTACTATTTAACACAGCAATATGTATCAATTTACTTTAATGTATAGTCTTCTAACACTTTTAAGTTCTGATATAGATTTGTAAAAAAACCTTAACAGAGCTCTGAATGGATACAAACGTGACCATGCATAGGTAACCTCTCTGCAAGGTCAGAATCTAAATATAGATATTTATGGTCAAAGATAAATTTGAGTCTTGTTTTCAAAACTACAGAATCCAGGGGGAGTGTTTTCTATCATAAACTGGAGCAAAATGAAAATCAGCTTGGGCAGAGAAGAGAATCTTGCAACGTCTCTCTGAATTTCAGCAACATTGATTCCTCTTATTTCAATTATGTTATCACCAAACCCTTTAATAGACCCATTTCTATGGCTTTCATCAAAGATGACCAAATAATAGACGGCCTCCTCTGTTCAGATGCATGAGACAGAGAAGCAAAGCTCACACTCTTAAAGGGAAGAAGGTTTTTGTTTGGTTGGTTTTTTAACCTGTTAAATAAGGTATGTAAGTGGCCATCTTCCCAGAATGAAGCATATCTTACTTCACAGCTTCTGCAGAGACTGCTCTTGCATTTACATCATGCATAGTATCTACTTCATTTCCATTTTTCATGTTTAGTAATTTAAGTAGATTCATTAACAACTCTTGCATCTTGACAACTGCTTTGGGAAATCCAAACAGCACACCAAACCAACTATACAGTATGAAAATGGGCATTTAATGATATTATTAGCATACACATATAAGGCTAAACCACCTGGAGCCCTGCTGTAGCTACTCATGCAGCCAGCTGTATAAGCAGAATCAGTAGCAAAGGACTGAAAAAGTGCACTCAGTAGGAAGCCAGGTTAGCATGCAGCTGTGGCAGGTAAAGCAGTGCAGATTAGGTAGCAGAAGAAAATAGTAGCATGTAACAAAGTAATTTGCTACAATTACCTTTCGCTTTATTAATTTCAACATACACAGGAATAATATTTTTTCTTCTTATCTCAAAAGTAACTTCTGTACTTTGGCTTTTCCATGTGACAAAAAACTTTAGCACAGTTACTTCTCCACTTAGTGCATGCTGTTTCAAGTGGATTTTTCTTTCTAGAACTTTTCACTATTTTTTCTGCTCATACTGTGTTTGCCAAGCTTTCCATTTACTAAGCTTGTTCTGTAGCAGCCACAAAAGTACATCGGTCTTTTAAATAAAGACTTCTGTATTCTTCATTCATACAGCAAATGTAAAACTGTACAGTGCAGATCCAACTTTTAAAATTTACACCATGCTTTTAAATAAAAACAAACTCTTAATTCCTTAATGCCTTTATTAGAAATCCAATCATTAGCATGCACATGTACAAATTAAACTTGGCTTAGTGTTTACTGTTGCTAATGTCAAAAGTTATGTCACTGAGCCGTGACATGAATACTAAGCTGTAAAGCAGAGTAAAATGTCGAAATCTGGGAATAATGCCTCCTTATCCCAAACAAAATTTCCATCATTTACAGTTATATTATATTTGCAGATACACAAATATATCAAACACCACATGCAACAGAAGCACACCTGTTAAAGTATGTAGTTAGGCAAATTACAGTAGGATTTGGTCTGGTATTTGCCTACCCATATGCTATTTTGACCCTAGTAGAGCACCATCTACAAGTCCTGCTAAAGCATACAAATAAATAAATAAATGAAGTTTTACAGTGAGTACCAAGTCAATAATTTACACAAACAAATCGACTTAAACCTGTGCAAATACTGTTCTCTGAAAGTTTCTACAAGCGTGACAAAAGGAAATCAATTCTTTCATAACTTTCACTCAAGAGTATCTGTAAGACCCATTGTTTGTGAAACAAAACAATGTATACATTCAAAAAAAGTTATGGGAAAAATGTTTTAAGTTAGGATTCCTTTAACCTTGTCCTGGTTTGCCTAAATATCTCATTTCTTATGAGATGGCACAGTTGTCTGGTTCCACACAGACTAAAACACCCTTGTGAAACAGGTGAGCACATGCACCCAGCTTTGTACCCAAAGGGCTTTTCTTTCCCTTATATGCACAGCTCAGAAGAGTGAAATGCAGTGCTTCTTAGCTAGAGAGTCCAAGTCCAAATGGGCTCCTAGGCCCTCAGTTTTCACTGCAGTTTTGCCAGCAGTGAGCTGAAGGAGAGCTCATTGCTCATAAACCCCTGTGCAGTTTAATGGCTCGTAGCAGCACTCAAGAAGTACAACAGTCAATCACCAGTTCCACTATACATCCAAGACTTTTGTTAAACAAACTATACACATGTATTTTACTCTGGAACTAGACCATTTTAACCCCCATTTTACACATGAACTACAAAACTCAGCTTTCCAAATTATTTCCTCTGTTAAAAAGGTTCATTTACCCTTAATGTAGCCTTTTTCACGGACGGCTTGTAACGTAGGGCGCCGTGTCAGAAACTTCTTGAGCTTCGTTTTGGTCTTTTTCTGATCTGTGGAATCTATATTGCTAGGTGCTTTCACTGCTGAAAAGAGAAACACATTTAGCATTACTAGCCAAAGAACCAACACTGCATTTATCAGCCAAGAAACCAACATTACAAAAAAAAAAAAAAAGAATTAAGCTCCAAGATACATAAAAAAGCTATTCAAATTTGCAATGCATCCACAATTTTTACCTTAACTTTTTGGAACTCCTCATAAATAGCATCCAGTTTTCAAACCACTAAGACAAACCTGCAAAGCCAACTAAATGGTAGCTTACATAAGGAATCAATGTGGGATTTTAAAAATACAGCTATGTTTGCAAACCTGTCTTGTGTCTCATTAGGTTAGCTATTTTTGAAAGAAATAAATATTTTCTTGAAAATTACATATAAGACCTGGAAAAAACCAGTCTGCCTGATTAATTTTTCTGTGCACAGGAAGTTAATTTCTGCATTTTAAAGAAATTTAGCTCCAAAATTCTAAAGTTGTAATTAAAAATGTTTAGTTTCTCTAAATCAGCCAATACATCATTACTAACTTAGTGAAATTGCAGTTTAAGCTAACAGTGCAAATATTTATAGATGCCGTGCCCCAGATAAAAATCAAGTAAAACTATTACAATCAGTAGATCAACAAAAGAATTCTTATTCAAAACTATTTATAAAGGTCAGATAAAACAAACACCTAATTACTTCTGTGCATTTGACACCACCTCAAAAATAATTCATTTCACCGCCACTTATTTTACCATTTTTAATGTGTTATACAGTAGAAGATAAAGACATTTCACATTTTTTTTAAAAAATTTGGTCAATAAGACATGGAAGAAAATTTACCAAATGGCATTAGGATGCAGAATGAACTACATAAGAATCAGTTTCCAAACTTGAGTAGTTTCATTTTTATCTGTCCTTTTGAATTCTTCCCTATTTACACGTAATAATGAAGATGCAGAAAATGAAAACTGGCATTGCTAGAAAAAATGAATGGAAAAATTTCAACTCACAACGAAGTTTCTTAGAGTCTTTATTCTCCTTCTCTTTCTCTTTGTCTTGTTTTTCCACCCCAGGAGAATCTGGTACCTCATCTTCTAATGGTTCATCAGGCTCTATTACCTATTAGATTTAAGATACACAGTGATCAGTTTGCCAGTTCACAGAATATAGCATTAACACACAGGTTTCCTGTAGACAGTTCTACAATACATAATTTTTCCTCCCATAATGATATTCAGTTGGTTCTTTCCTGATCTCTAGGTGTTAAATATCTCTTCAGAGATGATACCATTTCTGGTAGAGTGAATTACTTCGAGAAACACTGTTTCATCATAAGACTCAATAAAGAAAGTTTTGCTGGACACTGAACAAAGTACAACCAGCCCTTCATGATAACACTTCATTACATCAACCAATAAACAATAGAAATTATTTTTGGTTAGGTTTATTTTCCAAATCCAATAGACAAACATCAGCTATTTAATGGTCTGCTATAAAAATGCCTGACTGATAAGAGTTGAACACTTCTAGAGCATTTACCTAATTTCTTATCTCTGTAACTAAAATTTTCTTTATAGAAATGAGGGTTACCAATTGGAAAATTTCACTACCATCAAAACATACACTGAATTCACTCTGAAAAACTAAATGTACCCCTGCCTAAAATTCTTGTCCCGTGTTACTGCTATCTCAGCATATTCTCATTCAACACTGTCAAGTGAAAATGTAGATCACATTGAAGTGTGGAGGCGGGTAATCCGTACATCTGCAGCCTCATACCTATGCTATGTGCATGACTGCACATCAGGAGATGGGAAAAGAAACTTCCTCGGGTTTCAGGACAACATATTCCCTTTCAAAACCACATTTTTTCTTACTTCACTTCTACTGAAGTGAACTAGACTGCCTACACAGTTACCAAAATCTGACCATAGAGTGCCTTATGTTACAAGGAAGGACCTTTTAAAAATAAGACAGTTGTGTACTCCAGAGCATTCAGTGAGTAGCAGCATGACTTCACTAAGTTGCATTTTAACTCAAAGGGCAGGTGTTGGCTTCAAACACCTTCATTTCTTGTTCCTTTTTGAAAACTTTGGATAGCCTTTTTACACAAAGACCAGTTTATTCAACTGCCCAATTCATGTCCCCAAGGATCCTCCGCCATTCCTCATGAGGCCTCAAAGTTCTTTAGGATTCACACACTTTAAACCTAGTAACTGTCCTGGGGAAAAAAAAAATCACCTGGAATCTAATTTGTATTATGTAACAAATCTAATCTAATAACTTGGAAATTTCTGTATGCAAAACAGAGTTGTCACATCCTTTGTAGGCAGCTATTCCTCTTGCACAGAATATTGCCACAACAGCAAAGGAGCAAAGAGAACAATCTCATCTGCCCCTTCTTTTGAGGAAGATCTCATCACACTAGGAACTAGTGCTTTGATCATGGGAAAAATATTCACAGTTACTATTACCATAAGTTTTCCAAAATTAAAAGCTGGCTTTAGATCCGATGGCTATTTGTACCCAAAGCTTCAGTGCTCCAAGTTATCAGGTAGTCTGATGTACTTTAACTCATGCCTTGTTATCTTGGGTCTCTTGGCTACCAGCTCCCAGCAGTAATAATACATCACCATTTCTTCCAGAGTGCTGATAAACTCTTCTTATTCCACTATCACTTCCTCAACCTAACATGCAGTATCTCACTCACATCTCAGCATATCTCAGCCTTTTCATCTCCATTTGCATTTAAGCAGGAAAGAAGTGGCCTCAGTGGTGTTACACAGGCCAGAAGGAAGGTTGTCGCTGAGTCACTGCCTTGCCTGGCTATTAAGGGGTCATGACATTTTCATACCACGAGAAAGCAGATCAGAAGTCTAAACCATGAGCACTCGGAAAGAAACTGAACTACTCATATTAGCCTGCTGTGTTTTGGTGGAAAACAGCCATATGTGAAAAACATCAGAGTCAAGAGAAATGAAGGCCACTGAGTGGCATTGAAAGCAACATAAAACGGAGATAACAGGTAGCAGCCAATCTGGAACTATTAAAAAATAAGAATACATATGAAGTAAAACTTGGTATGAGAGGAATTTTTTCCCAAAATCTCCTCCAACTCCTTCTGAATTAAAAAAATGTTCTTCTTGTTTGGCAATATCTAGATCAAATGCTCAAGCATTTTCTGATATTTAAGTAGTTAGCACTATGCTGTCAGACAGGAAGAGATAATACAGTATTTTGCCAGGGCTTTTAATTTGCACTTTAGTGCAGCCTTACTAAGTGAACAGCACTATCAAATGAGGACAAATGTGTCACGAAGCATTCCCTCAGCCATCCTCCCTGCTTCATTCCCTCTCTGTCAGAACCTTTCAGGTCACTGAGACAGACAAGTATTTGGCCACAAAAGCAAGTTCATTTCTGAGATGGAGGTCAGCCCATGCTTTCTCTTTCTTAATCCAGTGGACCATCGTTCTTCCTCTGCCACTATTAATTATATTTCACTTGTCACCATATCCTCAAACTCCTGCTCACTCTCAAGAAGATCAGTAAATGAAGATGTACATGGAGCATCAGAAGTTGTTACATCAATCAGTTTACTAAATAATATTACCTTGAAAATAGAGCCTTCATGACTCAAATACATACCTGATTATTGATGGTATAGTTAAGAACCTTATACCATTCATTAATAAAGCCGTCATTATCAGATTGAATTAAGAGCTCAGTTCCTTGGCGGGTTTTTAGCTTTAAAGAAATAAAAACAGATACCATTAGAATTAATAAACACACTACAATTCAAAAGTGAAATTATCCAAATCAAATTAAACTTCTCCCTGGCATAACTTAGATAATACATAGCCACTCAAGAACACTTACCAGTGAAAACAGTAAATAACAATCTGCTTAAAATTGAAAAGCATACCCCATATAGAAATATTTAAAATGGACGTTTCTTGCAGGTACTAAAGATACCATATACATTTAAGCTGGTAGAAATGGATAAAAAAAACTTTTTTTTGAGGTTTTGATTTTAATTTAGGAAAAACCTCTTACATCAATAATTGAAGTGCATAGATCTCTTCATTTAAATGAAATAATTCACCTCAATAACATTCTTTTTGCTGGATTTGTCCTTTGAGGCCCAGTCAATCAACGCCCCTTTGAGATCCACTGTAAATTCTGGCTTAGACTGATTGACACCAAACTTCTGGAAAAAAACAGGAACAATGATGTCAAACTTAAAAACAAAGAAATTCCTTACAGGTACACAATCTGGCAATCCCCTAAATACAACATTGTTATTTACAGTCTATACAACTTAACCCAAATACAGTACTTTGCCACAAATCCACAGGCATAATACCAGGAAAACAAAAAACCTTACACTGAACACCCTGTAAGCATATCTATTACAAGCTGCTCAAATTAAAGCCTTCAAAATTCCATAACCAAGTGTTGATCAGATTCCAGCAGTTTTTTTGCCTATCAGAAATGGTAGAAGTCCAAACAGCGTTTGATTGTTGCTTGATTTTAATCAAGATAGTCACAAGCTTTAAACAAAACTAGCTAATAACTGAACAAAAAAAAACCCCAAACATTGTCACTTAATCAGTGGTTGTATATCAAACCAAAAATCAAACCAGACAGTGGGTTTGCTAGACAGAAATCACATCCCTCCACACTGAAATAGCACTATCAGTTTTTACATTTATCTACACATTTTTATTTATTATTTTTTTAAAACATTTACGTCCCAATGCTTTTATATTTTTCTGTAGTGCTTCCATTGCAATACTGGGGCATATCTTACCAAGTAAACAGAACTCACTGTCTAGCTACTAAACTAGTAAATAACCAAATAAACAGCAAATAACCAAAGCAATGAACAAAAAAAACCCTGAAACATTTAACTCACAAGTAACCCTTCAAAGAATTTGGAAGCAAACATCAGGGAGCTATTTTTACCTACTACTTTTACATCTATGTTAGCTATCTAAATTTTTTTAAATAAAGTACTTTCACTAGGATTTCAACATACACCACATAGCTTTGAAATGCAATTCCTGAAGGAAATCAATTCAGTGGTCCATACGAACAAAAAGCTTTAATTGTGAGTAAAATATGGAACAGGAAAAGCTGTAAGTCACTGAGTTATAGCACAGAAATTTAATGTTGTAGTTCCAGGGAAAGCTTGTAGCATCTGCTCCATCAGAAAGGCTCTTTTCTATTCCTTTAAGAAGTCTTTGATGTGTGAATGCTGCTCCTGTGACAGCTCTGGGGGACCTAAGCCCCAGGACAAGCTCCTTGTTGCAAACACAAGCTTCCAGCCTGTACAAGAACAGCCATATCCAAGGGGAGAAAAAAAATGGTTCAGAAAACAGGACTAATCTGCTGCTTCTGATTAAATTCCCAGCATGGATGTTAATTAATGCTAATTGTGTTTTAGAAAGGCTGTTTACCACTGAAAAATCTCCCTGCCTTGAGTCCTAAGGGCAATGAAGTGTTGAATGGAAAGTAGCATCTTAAATTCTTTATTTTACCCCTGAAATATCAGAGAAGGGAAGTATTTCTAATTTACCCAATGCCAATTAGCACTTGGGAAAAAAAAAACCTCCACCACTTTTCCCTCTCTAACTTAAATCTCAAATACCTCATCTAAGAACATTTCTTGTTAATTATAGTAGAGCTTTTGAGAGAGGCCCAGCTCAGCAGCGGAGTCCACAGGAACAATCTCTGGGCCACTATGGCTCTTGCAGCAGCTGCCTGTTCAAGAGAATGTCACATAACTGCTGCACACACAACAAAAGCATCCCAGACGCACTTCCTGGCAGCCTAGATCAATATTGCTGCGTGTTGGAAAAAAATTCAAATCAATTTATAGAGTTTGGCACTGGAGAGAGCAGGAAGCTGGTGCCAAAGTCCACTGTGGGACTGTGGGTGGGGAGGGTTTGCGTGTGATTAGTTAAAAACACAACCCAGATGATGCTGAGCAGCACGGGAGAGGAGGAGAGGACCTGCTGCAGGTGAAGTGAACAAACAACAACAACAAAAATACGAGTCACTGCTGCTCACTGCTGCTCTGACCAAAAGGAAAGCCCTCCAATACTTAGCTTGCTGAACTCCACAACTGAGAGATCGCAGCACTACCTCCAACACCTTTACACTCCACCCATCATTTCGGCCTGACTCCAGCATTTCAGAGAAGCACAGAAGAAAGCAAAAACTAGAAGCTAAAAAAGAGGAAAAAAGAAGTCTCCCCCCACTTCTTCACTCAAATGGTGGCCAAATTGCTGTGTGAGATCCAAGGATAGGTAAACCCATGCAAATAATTCAGCCTCACTGCAAAGCTCTTCTGATATACCAATATATTACATAATTATTCACAAACTTAACTTTTCTATTCCAGGACATTTTAAATTTACCATGCAGGCTCTCCTATGAGCTTTACTGTCAAGGCTCTTTTCTGTTTGTGAGTCTATGAAGATGAGATGCCAGCAGCTATTTCCCTCCTTGAAAGCTTCAAGGAGCAAGTCCTGAACAGGGCTGCTCAGACACTCTGCTTACAAAGGTCAGCTACAGGCAATTGAACCCTCCTGAAGCAAGTAGATTCTGCTGACAGAAGTAAAAAAAAAAAAGCCTTTCCCTTTGCAACTGCTGCCACACAGACATTAAGTCTGCTTTCTCAAAACAGAGTGTACTACCCAGTCAGCACCAGTCAGGATAAATTCAGTTCTTACTGAGCAGACACCTTATCCTTACCGGATTTCTCTTCTGAGCTGCCTAGAAAGTTTGGAAAGGGCAGCAGTGTGAGGCAGAAAGAGGGAGAAGTCTACACGTGGTGCTGCCAGCTGTCTTAGATATCAAGCTGTCCCTACAGTCACTTCTGACAGCCTTTTTTAAAAAGAAAAAAACAGTCACAGGATGTGCTTATGCTGAGATATCTTTTATTTTTTGGAAAGAATAGGGTGTTTTCTTTGCTTTGCATATAGTAGATGCTGTGCAGCTTAAGGACAGATGTATACTGACATCAATAAATAGGATAATTTTCAGGATTTTCTCTAAGTCCTGAACGCCTGCACAGGACAAGCCACACAGTCTGTACTGTGACATACGCAGCATTCTTTGGAAACAGAAATGGATGTTATTTATGCAAAGACCTTGGATGTGCAAATGACACCTGGTTTTCTTGTAATTCTGTTTCTAATTAGAGCTGGGTGGAATGTTTTAATTCCAAGTCCTGCTCACCCAAGGATGCACTGCAGAAAGAAAGCTGAGGAGACAGATACTCCTTTGTGGCTGGTAAGGGAGCTTCAGAACTTACTTTTCACACTAGTATTAATATATAAATTCCTCCCCATTCACCTTGAGCAACAAGCTACCATATTAGCTACCAACATTTTATGAGTTTCTGATAAGCAGCGCTTCTGTGCTTGGCATCTAGACTTCAAAACATAACTACAGATGCTTAAATTATATATAAAAAGAGCCCTATAAAATTTACATCAGTTTTCTATATGTGGAATATAGCAAAAATGTCTCTGTGTTCTTTTTCTTTCATCTCTTTATGCATAACATTTACATTTTTGGATATTCCAATTATAGCTAAAATTATCAAACAACAGTTACATCATTGTATCAAAGTTACCATAGGCACCATACAAAGATTCTAAATTAGTTGTGTTAGAAAGAATCAGACATAAAATATCTGTTAAAAAACTAACCATATCATGCTACTTATTAGTCAAGGCACTAGTGGTTCAAATAGTAGGCAAATTTGGGATTATAATTCTGGCACCAATGAACCAGATACACTTTCTGCTTTGTTCCAGCAGAACAATTACAGAATTACTGCAATACACTTGTGTTAATTTTCACCTTGGATGACTTTCAAAAACAGCAAACAAGATATGTGAGGCGTTATATGAAGTGTCAAAACTAAATCTTGGAAAAATTCAAGTTTACTTTCAGGATTAGTGGCAAATAGCCTTACAGCGACACGAGGCATGCAACAAGAACACATACAGTGATAGCTGAAACTTGGGCAGAGTTTACATAGGTGACAGCAGGTCGACGACTGAGAGCATTTTTCCAAGAAGAAAGCAGCGAGAGCAAGAGCTCAGGAATTGAGCCCACTTGGCAAAATGACTTGATGAGAAAAAGGAAGAAAAGTGATGAAGTCACAAAACAATGCACAAAAAAAGAAGATATGGTTATATCAATCACTAGACGAATGCTAAATAAATGTTCTGCTTGTAAGATGAATAAGAAATGTAATTCTTTACGTCAAACTGTTAGACTTGACGTCACCTTATTAAAATATGCACACAGAACCAAGTTTGAGAGGGGAGGTGGAATTTTTAATACCCTAAAAAAATTTCCTACAGAGAGCAAAAAGAGTGTGTGCTGAATACTTAATTATTTACAAAGCCAACTGTGAGTATGCAGATACACAACACTCAGTCCTTGAAAGAGTTTCTCGCTTAATATTTCCAGCTTCACTTTATTGTTTATACTGTTGATACTCATTTTGCTGACCCTACTCTAATACTTCATAGTACACATAACTGACAGAGTCTCACAAAAATATTGTGTCTATGGTATTTTTGCGCCACTCAAATCATCAAAAGAATTTATGCCTTTTTATTTTTCCCACCAAATGACTACACTTGGATGGTGTAATACAACTTACACTGGTGCCCCTAAGCCATGCAACTCTGCTTATTGGTTATCTTTTATGGATAATTCATTTGGGCACACATCACCCATAACATTACCATACCTTCATGAACACTTTGGCATTGTGTGTTTAATGATAATAACACATAGCTGAAAAAAAGGTTTTTTGATCTACAGCTACATTTGGATGAAGACTATTAGTAGCTGTAATCAAGACTCTGGAACTTGACTAGTTATTCAGGCAAAATGTTTTACTTTCTAAACAAGCATATTTACACCTCTAAAACTAAAATACTTTTTGGATCCTTAGCTATAAAAGTAAATTGCAGAAGTCACCAAAATCCACTTCCTACCATAAAGCATAATTTACCTTCTCACATGATTTTCATCTTTACGTTTTTTCCTTCCTTTCTTTTCCCTTTGCTTACCATCTTGGCCAACTTTACCCTTTCTATTCTCTTCTACTCCAAATTTCATTTATCCATCCTCACTCAATTTTTTCAACCACCCTTTCTGCAGAAGGGGAAAAAGAATATGTTTACAGCTCTGAAATGGACTCAATGCTATAGAAAAGAATTGTCAATTCCAATTCACTACCCAAAATGAAGAGCAGAAGAAAGTGAGCCAAGTAGAAAAATCAGTAAAGAACAGCAAGACAGCATTATCTGTAACAGGCAATTTTGCTGGAATTCATATGATAATACACCAAAATAACCAACGCTGAATCCAGTCTGTCTTTAGTTATTGCAGGAGATCCACAAGACCTTCAAAAGTAGGTAAGTAAGGCATAGATAAAAAGCCATTTCTATACCTATTATTGTAGGAATGTAGCTGGATAAATATAGCCAATTTAATTATTGTGCTATTACCCTAGAGGTGACATAAAAAACTGAATAATCATCATCTTCAATGTGATGTTTCTCTTTAGGTCTTCATCAGACAACAAAATAGAAACAAGTATTTGCCATGCTCTAAGCAGATCTAAACCAAGATATGGAATCCAGCAAGACAAAGCATAAATTATAAGACAACAATATGACATTGCTCAAATAGGCCAACACAAGAAGCCAAGTATCAGACTATTTTATTACATGTGTCACATTCAAAATTACTTGGAGTTTATGAAAAGATATCCAAGAAGGGTAAAACAAACAAACTGTTCAGACAAACACATTAATAAGGAACACAAAAATATCTGTTCTGGAGCAAAAACTTCAAGCCTACAGGGCACCTGAAGACCTCTTTATCAGTTTCTTGTCAAATATAGACACAGAAGTACAACTGTTTTCCTTCTTACAGTACATCATAATTGTTACATTAAACTATTTTCTTGCCAACTTACACGCTCTTATTTTTTCTAAATTAGGTGTATATATATTGGTGTCTAGGCCATACAAATAAGAGAGCTTTAATTTATTGTGCTTTACATGACTAACACTTCAGTGAGGGTGGGGGTTGTTCCTGAGCTTACCCAGCCAGTTCCACTTCCTTGGGTTTTAGTGAACAGCAGTGACGACCCTTGTAACACTGCCCATGATGACATCCAATTCTTTCTGTAAATAATTGTAAACAAACAAAATAAATTGACTTTGAAAGTAGATATTTAAACTGCCCATCATTGTTGCCCAGCTGACCTGTATGTTAACATACTTAAGCGCATATAGAGTCATTAGTGGCATCAGTAAGTCTTAATTACTATCATATTTGTAGAAGGGAATGTATGTTAACAGTCCCAGCCTGACCATCAAAGTCTAAATCAAACAAAGCTAATTAGAGTAGTGGAAGCAGTTCACCAGGAGAAACACCATGCAATTATAATTTCAAAGGGGCTAATCTGGACCGCTCAGCCTAATGTGTACTTAACAGATCATGCTAAAGTACTGCACAATTCTGAAATTCATTGATCACATCTCAAATGCAAGTGTCCCATATTTATGTAATAAGCTCATTTACACTGACAACAAAATATTTGCTGAAAATCTAAAAAAAATTAAGGAAATAAAGAACAAATGAGTTGTTTCAGTTGTCTATTTGATCTTATGTCTGAGGACCTGTCCTCCTGAGGTCATTTAAAAAAAAAAAAAAAGAAAGTCTTGACAAGCCCTGAATATCTATCCCCATTACCCAAACATAAATTATGACTCAGCAGCTCTCAAAGTGACAGGGTGGACATGTTGCATTTTTCTGTACAGCAGCAGTAATCCAGACCAGTGACTCCAACAGATGCAACAGAAATGGTGACAGTATATTGCACCAACAGCAGCTTACATAAGCCACTGTCCACTCTGTCCTACTGAGCTCTTAGGAGCATCCCTGCAGAACCAAACTGGAGGTCAGATGTGCTGTTCAGCTCCACTGGACTAGGTCAGGGTGGCTCTAGAATATCAGCTGGGTGTTGATTATTTAATCCTCAGGAAAAGCATCCTTCATGTACCAGAAGTCTCAGAAACACTGAACTAGAGGTAACACAATATTAGATCTAAAAGATTAAATTAAAAAAAAAAAAGGCAAAAAGTAAACCTAAGTTAAATCTGAGGATGTGTCACACTTATGCAGTATTTTTCATTGACTCTGCAAAACACCAGAAATGTATGTTAGCCAGCACTATCTGATTACACATTATGATTTCTAGTGCAAATGCCTGCCTGGGAGGCAGAGAAAGGAAGTTGGAAATGAGGTCACTCATCACCTACAGGGAGACTGATGTCAGGTGTTACACTGCTTCAAACCCTTCACATGCAGAGTGAAGGAAGAATTAAGGAGCACATAGCATGTACACTTCTTGGAAATAACAGGACATGGAGTGAAACTCTGAAAGCTCCTCTTACCCCAATTCTATCCAAGGAACAAGACAGTCTATAGCCTATACGGATTTTCTCTTAAATCAGTCGATCAATCTCATTTTAAAAAGCTCCTCAATACACCTTCATGAATTCCCTGCCTTGTGTGAAGTCCTGGCATACATGAGCCTCTGGCTCTCTGAAGTCCATTTTCTTTAGCTCACTGGGAGAAACACACGGGATAAGATTAACACTGTGTCCTACAGGAAAGCCTCTAAGGCAAATTCAGACAAAAAGTAAGAAGCTGCAAATCCCAGCATGCTGTCCTAACATAAAAGACTTTACACAAACCTTAAGCACCTGCACTTCTAGAAGTCCAAGACTTACCGAACTTTCTTCCCATTTTCTGTAATTTTTGTCACATTTAATAAACCATACTTTTCTTGGCCCTGTAAGATAAGAGTAAGATATAAGAAATATAAAAGAAAATCTGATTCTATTAACATCACATCACCAAATTCAATCCTCCAAATAATCAATTGCTGGCAAGGAGCCATCTCTACCCATGCAATAACTTCAAGAAACTGTCTTTAAGCCTATTTAAATATGCAGAGATGAGCAAAACCAAAATTCCTCTGGGGAAGTACTCATTACCATTCAGAGGGTAAAAAGCTTTCCTTCATCAAGACCTAGGTTATTTGGACAAGCCAAACTAAATAATTTGTGATAGTAGACAGTGGAAATTATGAACGTAAATTTATAATTATTTGTGTAATAGCCCATTAGTGTTTTTGTCCTTTACTAAAAAAGGCTGACAAACAGCCTAAATTCCCTGACAAATTCTTCAAGTAATTTTAACACAATTTCATATTTTAAATAAAACATGGTTGAAATGCATGAAAATACTAACATATTCATGTTAAAAATAGATGAGAGAAACATTTCTTTGATTTTTTTTTTCCTATCCCCAAGGAAAATATTAGAATTTTAAACTACTTAGTTATGTCTTGTTGATGAAAACCATCTATATTAGTATGCCCACTAAAAAATTTGGAGATCAGTCAGTGACGGGTGGAAAAAGAACACTGCTGAACAAAAAGGGTGTTTGCAGGTTTCAAATAGGTGGAGAGAGTATTTCTAGTTTCTGTGCAAAAATAATAGTATAACGGAACATTTGAAAAAGCATTCTAGGATAAAAAGTAAAACCATTAATTTATACCATCATCTCAAGATGAGTTATCACTATCATTTTCTCCTGTCATCCCAGTCAATGGTGCTAAAAGAATATTACATAATTTTTTTAATCAATTCCTTTTCAGTAACAGCTTCTAACTTCGTTTATGAACTAAGCTATTAGTTGAAAAAATCAAATACTGAAAGTATCCAAATTAGTTTTATCCTTAAAAAAATTACTTCAATTCTAGATAAAATGAAAACAGAAGATAAATCTTCTTCAGCATTTTCCTCTAAATCTCAAATTTAAGTGGACCCTGACTGCAGAATACTATATTGAAGAACCTTTTTTCGCTGGAATACCATGACAACACTCTTACCAGAGACACGGATCTGTTTTTCATGAACTTTAAAAATTTTACCTACATGTTTCAGACCCAGCACATAAAACACAGAAAGGATATGTTAAAGGACAAAGGTGTTTAGCTGGTGGATCAGATGTTATTTCAGTCCAATGATAACTATTACTCTTACTCAATTAATATCTTCATTGGCCTTTGGCTTTAATAAGCAGAACAGCCTTTCACCATCTTTCACAGTGACTGAGCAACCTGTACTTTCTGAAATAAATTATGGTTTTAATAAATTACTCATGATGGGACCAGTGGGGATGCTCCACAGAAGAGCTATTCAGAAAAAGTATCATAATGTCCTACTTAGCAGCAACACTAGGGGGTACTAACGGGAAAATTAATGTAGTCAGGAAAAAGAAGTGGAAAGCAAGTTAAGGATGAATATACTCAAAAATTTACCAGCTTTCTTTGGAATATTTAAATCCCAGGTGATAGTTAAAAAAAATATGGATTTTTTTTTTTCTATTATCTAGAGTAGTAGTGAGCCTTTCTGAAAAACACAAGTTTAGAAATGCAAGGTCTGAGCCATATTTAAAGAAATTGGATCACATGCAGTAATAGTTCCTTTTGTGTAAGGCTATCAACTATGCTTGCTCAATAAACAATGTTTATTTTATTGTGAAAAACTGTTTGAAGAGTTCTAAGAATGGATTATCGTGAATAAGCCAGAGAACCATTCCCCCGCATGCAGAGTAAGAATGAAACTAGAGAAGTTGTGCCTTTAATGCCCTGAGGTTCCTACTAAAGGGTTGGTAAAATTGATCAAGTTACTTATTTCAATACTGCTGTAGTACAGTTCCAAAATAAAAAGGATAAAACCTTCATTTTTTTAAATTATTCCCTGCTGTTAAAAAAGGAATAACATTTAAAACATAAACTGATATTAAAAAATCCGTTAAACATTCATAACGGGTTTTTCACCCACTAATTATTTTACTAAATCAAAAGGACAGAGTTTATTTATGCCAGGTCCTCTGTCTCTTTAAGGAGACTGAATCAAGTCAAAATTAGAGATATCAAATACTACAAACTATTACTGACTACTGACAGTGAGGGATACTGTGAAGAGGGGGAATCTGTTTCTGTTTTTACCTCTCAAGATGTTAGATGAGAAGACGTGACTGTTGGAGAAAGTCAACCAAGTTCTACATAATTAGAAATAACTTTATTCCATGGTGAATTTCTAATTCAATCTTGTATTACTAAATTGCATTTAAACCGAAGAAATTTACATTTTTTCCTGAAAGTAGAGTTGGATGTAAAGCATTCCTTTTAAAATGTAAAGCCTTCAAATTGTTTTATCCCATTATTTTTCCCAACAACAAGAAGGCTTACCCTCAATTCTCTAGTCATGAATAGCCCAGTTTCTACAACATCTACTTATCTATTTAAACACTTTGCATACTGACTGTGGCTTGATGCTTTGGTGAAGAAGGAGAGGACTCATTTTCAGGAAAGCTGGTCTTAGAAGCAGTTGATGATTCCTATAAAATTCAAATAGTCAATATAAGTTATTATTTTTCTTACAATTATTTTCTTTTTTTTTTTAACCCTAAAGATACTTTCTCCCTCTCTCTTTTTACATATTCATACATTAGGAAAAAAAGTACTTCTTTTCATTACTCATGACATTCTCAAATATAAGATTAGTATAATAAGTCATTATATGTGTAGAAAAACATACACCAATTCTATTAATTTTTGTGAGTCATGATCATTAATTTCCTTATAATCAAACACTAAAAATCTCTAGAGGTTTGGGTTTTTGTTTTAAACTAAATGTTAACTACTTATAAAAATAAAGTATTAAATCTCTGAAAACTAGAAAAATTGCCCATCTGGAGCAAAAAAACCGAAGGCATGTGCATTTCCTCTGAAGTAATGATTGCTTTGAACAAATATGCTGCTTGAAAATCTGTTAAAGAATTTCAAATGGAAGAAAAACATCACTTTCTCTGCCACCATTAACACATTTTCCCCACTCCCTCTTTTTAACTCCCTTGATAACTCTCCCAAATTCAGTTTGCTTTTGCAGCATTACATAACACTCTGCAAACCTGTGCTTTAAAATTCACTTGTAAATCTACCTACAGAAGTAGCCCACTAGTTTTCAGTAGCATAATAACAGAGAGCTTTAGCACTCCTAAGAACAGCCTAAAAGTTCCATATTTTCAGATGTCTGCAAAGTCAAAAAAATTGTTCAGTTTAAGAAAAGCAACACTGTCCCTCCCAGGAAGGTATTTTTTCCTCTGCTTATGAAATTTTCTAGCTGATGGGTATACACAGATATGCGCCACAGCCAATAAACTGTTAATAAGTATGTTTGGTATCATCAAATTCTCACGAGCCATAGCAACCCATACTTTCACTCTGACACATTTCAAGTACTCTTTTGAATGGCCTATTTTCATACAACTGAGTTGTGTTGTTTTTCCAGGAAAACAAAATAAGTAAAAAGAAGATAGCTTCTCTAGCAGTCAGCTAAAAAGCAAACTCGCAGTTCATGTGCCTACCCAGATAAATACCAGTTGTTTTCCTTCCTATTTCATTCTGGATGTGGGATAGCTTTCACACAGTAAGCAACTCTGGAACAAGAAACCCAGTATTTATGGTAACAAACCACATACTAATTTAAAGCAAATATACTAACAGTGTGCCCGCTAGTGGTAATAAAACAGGTACATTAATGCACTAAAAATTATTTGTCTTTCCACAAAACAGTTTCATGTTCCACGACATATGTTTAACTTTCTCAAAGCATTAATGTTGTGCTTTATATGAACTATAAGTCTCCTTACCATTAAAAAATACATGCTGCCTACACGCTTTGAAGCTGTTAAAGGAATGTAAGCCTACTGCCTTAGGCTTTACAAATAAGGCTGACGTATACAATTTCTTTTGGTTATTAAACTTAGGATTTATACACATTCATCTTTGCTTCACTGTGTTCAAGTTCTTTATACCTGAACACTGCAACTTGAAGAAAAGTAAACAGCTCCACTTATTCAATGTGTTACAAAAGCTTCTTCATTCAGTGCACCACTACATGAAGGTCTTTTCAAAACAGAAGTAAATCTTATGCCAAGAATTAAAAAGTTTTACTTTAAAAGCAAAGCCAAAACTTTAAGCTACCTCCAAAAAAATTGTTCATACCTGTGAGGCATAAACTGCACATGAAGCTAGAAGTGTCTACTCAGTTTTGATTTATCAGGGCTCCATCTAGGCTGTCCCTCATGCAATGCCACAACACACACTGAGTACAGAAGGATGTGTAAGGCAGAGGAAGAGGAGGAGGAGGAGGGGAAAGGAGCAGCAGCGGGATCTCAGAATCGCTCAAGCTAAGCTAATGTGTACAGGTGCAAACTCCCCAGCCAACCATGGTCCACTGCCTCCTAAACACCACATAGGATATATTCTAAACTGACAACTCAAAAGCTCAAGATCAAATCCAATAAATCCTATTCTGAAGACCTAAGTCAACTCCTGAAAAGGAAGTCCATGAAAATGTACTGGAAACAACAAGCCAAGCAAGTAAAGTTCTGAGTAGCAGATCCCTACTACTGTGTTTTGTCCATTTAAATTTGCTTTTGACATCTGCGATTACGCAAGCCCACTCACAGGCTTTTCCTTACACTCCCAAATCTACATTCATTTCATTTTTTCTTGTATCTTTAGGAAAATGGAGTTTACAATGCCATTTCCTGGTATCTCATTCTGAGTAGTCTGTACTAATATTTCAGCATGACAAAGTATTTCATTTTCCATGAATCTTGGTTCAGACTGCAGTGAAGTAAAGAAACCAGCAACTCACCACCCTACACCACCCATTTCAGTTCCTCTCTCCTCAGCTCACATCAACTCTGCCTGTGGGTGAGGAGAATGTCCCAGCACAAGCAGAAATGGCTGGGACAAAAGTCAAAGTGAAGAGAGACAGGCAGAGGGAGAAACAAGGGAGAGAGAGGCTCCATCTCCTTGTTGGTCTAAGCAGAATCTGTTACTGTGCAGCCCAAAACAGACTATCTAAAAGGGGCAGAAAACAGCTTTTGTTTTTACTGACCCACAGCTCTTTTCAGACTAAACACCAGCTCAGCTCTGGACAGGATCAAAGCCAAGCATTTCAGCACTTTCAGTACCATCGTCTGCCCTTCAATAACAACATTAAAACTCTGCAATAACCACACACAGCTTTTCCTCTTTCCTCGAGATATTACAGTGGCACTCAATGGAACCATCATTAAAAAGATAAATACACTATATAACACTGCTATTTAAATCTTTATGTCATAGTTTTTACTTTAGCAAATGCAACTTTTATTTCAATTCTATGTATGTTTCAATTATTCGTCTGCAATCTTTCAAGTGTATTTCTACTTGGTGTTTCTTACAATTAAAACATTCAGGCTTGAAACATCACTATACCTTACAGAAGAGTCTTGCCCACATCCATAATTCTCAAATACAAACCCTAATTACAATTCATAGCTTAAACTGAATTGGGAAATTCCCAGTCATAAGTAAAATCGCTGTACATGCCAACCCCGGAACTAACACTAGTTAAAATACTTCAAGGACAACAAGAAAAGAGCTACTATTCACAAAGTAACAGTAGTAAAGTTATTGAACAGCCCTTGGTTTTGCTGAACGTTGTACACGATACAAGAAAACATACAAATGAAATTTCAGGAATTCATGCTTATTCATTTCTGTTACATTAAATACTTCACACATCAGAAACAGCTGGTATTTCAGCATGCTGTTGAACTTGCTCCTACCTTGTCGTTGGTGTCCAGCACAATTGTGCTGTGCCTCCATTTTGTTAAAACTATTGGTTCTTGTAGCCTCCTGTCCAGACTCCTACTCTTTATTATATCTCTCTGTTGCTGTGGTGAAGCATTATACTAAAGAAGAGAAAAATAAAAGTGTAAGTAGAATCTGATTCATGCAAACAAGACTTGGACATACCACTCATGCCTAAACAGTGCAAACTTTCAGATTCCTACTATCACCAAGGATGTGAAAACAGCCTTGGCTTTATTTTGCATTTGGTCTTCAGAACTCTCCGTTCTCCTTTAGTCCTCTTTGCAGCAGTAACTAAGACTGGCCTGTTGGGATAAGTCTCCATTGGCAGAGAGATATTCGATTTCTTGTGCAAGAGCTTACTGCTGATTTTGCAACCCAACAGGGTATTGAGAACCACCAAGAAATCACAATAAATATAAGATTTAATCATTCACTCTTCATATTGCACTGACAGTACTATAGCACCTGTCCAGTTCATGTGTAAGAAAAAGAAAACCCTATTATCCTGCAGTACGGTACTTAAATTCTTAAAATTGCCTGGGTATAACCCTCTTTAACCCAAAGATTTGGGATATCTAGGAGAGAAAACTTGAGGGTGAGGACTTGCTTTTTCAGAATAAACACACCAAAGTACTTATAAAAGAATTTTCTGGTGTGGAACGAACACACAACGTACAAATCTACACATTCTATAAGCACGGAAAATAAATATTTAGCAGGAAATAATTTTAAGACTTATTAGAGCTGTAACAGCCAAGGACAGACTGTATTCACCATAACATAGGTTTCTAGTAACTCATGCAAAGATATAGAGACTGAGAAAATGTGAAGGTCATCAGAAGAGCACAGCGTTTAATTAGATCTCAGAACTGTAGCATACTTATCATTACTAGTGTTGACATTTTACATCATAACAATCAATACATTATAAAAAGTTCTAAAAATATTTTAAACAAAGTTTAAAATGCAAACAAGAAAAGACAACATCAGCATATGGGTTTTTAAGTCATTAAAAAAAATCTCATTCTTTCTAGTCATTATCAAACTAAAATCTACACACAGAAAGAAATTTAAGGCAGCATTTCTGGAGTCCTGTAAAGCACTAGAATCCACCAGGTAAGAAGTAACAAGGAAAAGTCAAGTGCCCCTTTTATCTGAGAAGGCTAAAGCAATAATCTTCGCAAGCACACCGAGTTCTATGATTTTGCTACTGATTCCTACTGTAAGCTCAGAGCCTCAGGTCTTCAGACAGAATAACCTATACCTGCATATAACAACAAAGCATGCCAAGGTTTAACCTGAACAACATAAATGCTAAATCTAAGCTAAATTGCATAATAGTTATATTTATTGCCCAAATAAAGAACCAGCATTACTACTGCCATGGTAGTCACGATGCTTGAGTTAGCTTTGTATTTCACTATGAAGAGAGCTAATGCTCCAATAAGTCAACAGATGCTTAAAAGCTAAATAACTCTAATGTTTCATTAAATTATTTCAATAGGCATAAGAGAGAAAAATACTCCCTGGTGAATGGATCTTGCAGTACTGAGAATAAAAGTTGGTAGCTCATGTACAACAAATGTATCGGCTGTCACTGCAGAAATTCACTTCTGAGCCTGCACTGCCTTTGTACTGGGTTCAGCACATTTACACTCACATGGCAACATGCTTCCTTACAATAGTGAGGTTTCAAGCAACTCTCTGTTAGTCTCCTTGTTAAATCAAAAGCTGAACCATCATTCATGCTGCAAGGGCCCTAATACTGGCTTACTTTCTTGTTATGGAAGTACCCACTCTGCAGATGCTCCCACAGCCCAAACTGCAGCAGCAAGCTGAGCAATCTACAACAAAATTGCCCATCAGTACTACAACTAAAATCTAAACAATTTTCAGTGAAACTATGTCTAAGTCACAAATGGCTGCAACAAACATTATTCCCTGCAGCAGCTCTAACCTATTTAAGTAGGCAATTCAAATACATTTCTTGCTGTGAAACAGAACTTCTTATTTCAGAAATAGATTTACACTTTAGTGACACTGGTGTACATTATTTATGGAAATCCTCAGTGCGCTTTCCATTTGAGTAACCTGAGGAACTGAAGTTTAAACAAAGATGTATTTTAAAGTAATGTATCTTGAATTTAAGTCTATGCTAAGATATGGGCACATATCCTAACATACGTTCAGATATGTGCCCATATCTCAACATAGACTTAAATTATGTTAGGATATGGGCATAAGCCTAATTACAGGTGTTTTATATTTAAAAGGTGCCTTTGATACTATCACAAGACATCAGGAGTTAACTTATCTAACAGACAACACCATCTTGAAGGAGAAAGGACTTGTAATACAAAATTCAAGTTCTATTAAACATATTTAACAAGAAAGCAAAGCTCATCAACAAAGCTCTGCTAAAAACTCTGGAACACTGAGCTATATGCATCTTAGCAGCTTAAATAATTTGCATTGGTGATACAGTGTTAGTAAACTGACAAGTCTTTAAAGTGAACATTTGACATTTTTGCCCCATTTTCCTCACAATAGGGACTTCAAGTAAACATCTTTTGCTCAGATCTTTATGCAGGGTTTGTTTTTCATTTGTTTGTTTTATTCATTATAAATAGTAAAACTGGCAAGGTTGTGGGGGGAAGTGATGTGGAAATAAAAACCTTATATATTTCTGGGTCAAGACAAGCCTCCACTTTTAAATTACATGAACTGATCTGTGATCTTCAAGGAGAATCAGAGTGAGATTCAGAGACTGCTCCAGACTCCACATTGTCCAACAGAACTCTCCATCCTCTAGACCAGGCAGAGTCCACTGGCTAGAGGGAAGCAGCCAGAGCCAGTAGCCTCACCAGGTTGGATGACACCACCCTTCAACTCTTTGGTCTGCTCTGACTCAATCTTAGTTCAAAAAGCCCTTGCAGAACAGTTTCAGCTCTGATTCACTTACTGACCCTCTACAGGACACCCACCTGCAGAGGAACTGCTGTCTCTCCCACATGCATTTTACAATATTTACCACTGTTTACCAGCAAAAATAAGCAACTAGGTTGGGCTTGCCTCCCCTCGCATGAAATCTTGTTTTTACATAACCCTAAGAAGGCTTTCTAGGCCTAAGTCTTGGGGTAATCTTTAGATCAGGCAAGGGCCCTACACTGCAATAAAACTGACCCATCCAAGACTACACATTGACTGGCAGAATAATCTCTGCTACAGCCATGTGCCTTAATAGCATCTTCTTAGGGTGCAATGTTATTCTCCAAATTCTAAAGCATTTTTTTAATGTGGCACACAACTCCAAATATACACACTTATGCTCCTTGAAAATCCTCCACAAATTCAAATTTGTCACATCACACGAACCCATCATAACCTCAGTTTGTTCCCCATTTCATTGGGAGCATCTCCTATCATTAAGTGAGCACGTGAGCAATTTATTCATTCTCTGAATGTACATACCAAGTAAAACAGACATCTTCTTGTAACAGCTCTTGATGTAGGTTAAGGACATCAGTGGTACAAATTTAGGTCACACAGTATTCTTTTCATTGCTGAATTTGTTCAATACCTTCACTGTCTATGTAAAGGCTTTCTTTGCCTTGGTATAAAATTTACTAACCTTCTCAACTGGCTGAGTGATTTATATTTAATTTTAACCTGATACGTGGCATGGCTCAAGGCTCTGTCCCAGCCTAATTGTGGCTGAAATAAACGTAACACCTCCAAGTTATTTGTAGCAGTTGTCCCCATTCTTACAGAGATGACACAGATATGTCAGCTTTAAGAAAGAAAAAATATTCTTCTTGGTTTGTGTTGATGAATTCTCAGTCAGATGAAAGGAACTGGGTGAGTGAAGGGAAAAAAGACTGGGAAGCAATGGGTACTGAAAGTCAGTAAAGACCTGAAGTCAAGTATTTTACCTTCATGCAATCAGTGATCAAAACAGCAGCATTTAAAAAATTATTGTGCTACCCTAGTACCCTTTAGCACCTCATATGTTATTGGCAGTTGTCCCAATACACTGTCTGAAACAGAATTTTTTTTTTTTTTCAAAAAAATTAAATGTTGCCTCAGAACAAAACAACTTTCTAGTGCTACTACTGTCATTGGCTTTGAACAAACTTTTTTTGTGTTGTTATAAACACCTACATTACAGCTTATGCTTTTCTTATCAACTAAATCAGTAATAATTTTTTTTTTTTACCTACATAAGCAAATAAGAAATACTTCTATCTTTTTAAGGACTTCATTCCCTTTCCTTCTCTAGGGAAAGTGATTCCTCATTCTATGCCATAGGATGCCTGAGTGGTAGCAGTTGGAGGCATCAGCTGCACTTGAAGGAACAGAACCCACACATAATGAAGAGACCCCTGGGACAAGAAGCTCTAGCTCTAACATACAAGTGACTGAAAGACACCTCTGGATAACCTGCTTTGTTTGCTTTGCTGTCTTGGATGCCCATTGCTTCACCTTTTAATCCTCAGGATCACCAAGACTGCTCATCTTTGATGAGCAGCTCTAAGTCAGCACTGATTGCCACAGGTCCTGCTGCTTGCCTAAGCAAAAGCTGGGGGCACTTTCCCCTCCTCCCTCATCTTATCTGGGAAGAGGGAAGGCAGGTGGGAACCACCAAACACCAGGACAAATGAGGAAGACCAGGCCAGGCTTTGTGAGTACAAATATACATATTAAAGAGAAAGGAAAAAGGGGGGGAAAAAATCTGTCTTCTCATACTTATTGCAGGTTTGTTGTGCCACTTGTGTCATCAAAAACAATTTAGATCCTTGGACCAGCTAGATTGTCTCAACTTCCACCAAGCAGTCCAAAATTTTAGGACAAGAATGTGAAGCTGATTCAGTATTGCCAATGATACTGTCTAGTACACCGACTTGCAGTAGATACAACTGCCAACACACACAGTTTGTAACCTCAAAAGGAGCAGCACAGCTTAGAAGACAAATTTACCAGAAGACAACCAAGCCCTCTTTACATGTTCACATCTTTATTTCCTTTCACCATATAATTTTGTGATATCTTCCTGACATGACCTGCATCATGTTTTACTGTCATTTTTTCAGCTAGCATGCTCTGTCTGACAGCATTCGGGTCTCCAACAGGAAAATCATTCCCCACGTACCAGAAACTGAGGTCCCTGAGCTCATACCCCATGTTGACAGTGCACAGAGTGAATTAACAGAGTGCTGGTCCATTAAGACTGCTAAAAATTAAGCTCCTCCACCTATTGCTTCCTCTGTGGATACAGCAAGGGGAGCTAATGCTGCAGGCACTTGTGAGAAGCAAACATGCAATTGCAATGTCACAGTCTGTAAATATCAACACTAAAACTATGAGTTCACTCCAGAGGATTATAGTATACATTTATTTTCTTTCAAAGGCTACTTTCGGATCAGAAAGCTCACTCAGAGGAGGGTAGGTATCGGCTTAGGAATGCATTTTAAAAAATCAGAGAGATCTTTGATCTCTACTTTTTATTGGGTTGTCCTCTCTAATTCCCCTTTGAGCTATTTTTCATTATTTATTACATAGCTTTCCTCACTTTTTTTGTCATTTTGATAGATTAACTTTTTTAAAAACTTTAGAAATTAAGAGTGTTCTCACTCCTGAGATCAATTTAATTACCCCCACCCTTAATACAGATTTCTCATTTGCTAAAGTCATAAAACTCATATTAGAAAACTAGGTTTCTGGAATAGGGCTGTAGCCCTTCTCAGCATGATTTAGGTATTGTTCATTCACTACACAGGAAATAAAAATATTTTATCATAGTGATCTGCACAGGAATGAACTTTTATTAGTTGGTTTGTTGTTTTTTTTGTTGTTTGGCTGTTTTGGGTTTTTCTAATAACTGGCAAAAACCAACAGAATGCTGCATAGCAGAAAACTCAAAGTCTTTTTGCAAGATGTAGTAGAGACTATGGTTAAAATATTATTACCCATTTTAAAGATTAATTCACTATGTTCTTCTCTTCCACTACAGAAAGCTGGGTCACACTCATCATGAGCCTTAATAGACTTTGCAGCAGTTGTCAAAGCTACTCCATCTGAAACATCGTTTTCAGCCAGAGGCATTCAGCTATTCCTAGATGTTATTTAAATTCACATGACTGGAGGGCTTTCTGTGAGACTGTCTAAAGTAATTTGTTTTGTAACTGCCCTCCCTTCCCAACATATACCCTCATAATTTTTAACACACGTACAAGAATACTGTGTTATTCCCGAGCATGTGCACATTTACAGTTAATGCTATTACCATGAAGATTTTTAATGTCACAGTATTAGCTCAGCTAGTGTGCTATTTCCAGAAACCTCTGAACCATTTTTAGTTCTAAAGAAGTTCAGATTATTAAGAACCATCTAACAAAAGGATTATCTTCTTTTTCTGGTTTAACAGCACTACATGACCTGCTATTCCATCACTTTATTTCACAAGTTTTGGAAGGCAATATTTGAGCTAAATACACTGGGATCTAAAACTGACCAAGAGTAGGGTTTTTTTCCTAGTAACTTACTTTTCATTTAAGCAAGTGTTATAACACCAAAGTGTTTCTATGGTTTTCTTTCATTACTCATGAGAGTTTTCAATATAGATTATTTTTCTTCAAAGTAGTTTTGTGGTCTGCATTGTCTTTCCAATTTATTTGTTCTAAGTACGTTTAGAGCCAGCTTCAGCAAGATCTTTGAGACTAATCTTCAATCACACTTAATTACTTACAGGAATAACATCTCCAAATATATAGCTATATAAACTAGCCAAAATCTTTTGTTGAAATATTTAATCTATTCCACAGCATTTAAAGTTAAAATCTAAGGATTTCTGGAAATACATAGGCTCTTGGATCATGAATCTAAGAGTCAACTGCTCATTTTCTTCTGTTAACCTTACATTTGCTGCCAGCCAAGATTTACTAGTTTCAAGAAGGAATTAAAAAGTACATTCTGCCCACAGAATAATAAGAAATAATTTTCAAGGAAAATTTGTAACAGTAATATGTGATGATTTTCATATAAACAAGAACTAAAGCATATCAGATCACTAATTCCAAACCAAAGGCTATGTTTCATTCTGGAGGTGGCTGCTAATACAACAGAACTCAGATTTTTTTAGAATCACTAAAATAGCATGCACTAATAAATACTAGAATAAATACTAATAAGACACAGGTAACAGTACTAGATTATCTTTGTGACTTATTCTAGTTGGATTAAAGGCAATTTGCTATTTAGCTCAAATCCAAACTCAATCCATTTTAATGAAAACCAGTTTCTTCCAAGTCAAAACATTCCGCATTACAGAAGTCATGCGGAATTTTTCCCCAAAATTAACTTCATTTATATATACTGAACCAATAATTGCTTCTGGTGAAACCCGGTCTATCAGATTTTCAGACGTCTAATAAATCTGATAATAAAGCAATAGCTACATAGCTTTTAAAACCAATAGGTACAGATTATATTGTTACATTTATGCATGTTACAAAATTTAAGTTATCTAACGTCAGACTAACATAGGAGAATTCCCAAACCCAACTCAACTCTTCAGTGACTCAGATACAAATTCTTCTACTAACATAACAAAACAGCTTAGTATTTAACTTCACTCAAACTTTAATGTAAATATTTTCTCACAAATATTATGAAAGCACTATCTATTAAGGTTGCTCCTTTAAAAGTGAAAGTGACTTAGGACACTGATTTTTGTACTGATGAAACAATAATGGAGAAACATGCTCTTTCATACACTTATGCACACAAGTCCGTGTGAAACACAATTTTTTTACTGGCCACACCTTACTATGTAGGATTGAACAAGCATCCTAATAGGAGAAAAGATGTATACAACAATATCATTATGACAAACGCCCTATAGTTTTTCAAAGTGAAAATGAGAATGAAATAGTATTAGGTACACCTTCAGACTACCAAGTGTCCCTAGATCTGTCACTTCTCTACAAATTTTTATTTTCATTACAAAACTAATAAATACCAGAACACAATCTTGTGAAACTGTGTCATCCTCAAAGATACCACAGAACTCTGCTGAAACTTTTGTTTTTCAACAGTTGTCTTACAAGCATTTAGAAGGCTACTAAAAATAGACCAGTTTCTCAGGGACATTTTTCAGCAAAAAAAATTTCTTTTTTCCTATAAAGGTTTTCTTATCACAGCAAAATCACAGATATTATTCTGCAGCCTTGCATGAAAAGCTCAGTTCAGCAGAGATACAAGATCTCCTTTGACATCTGAATTATTACATACATCCATTTTTCATGTCCTCGAGTATATTTTTTTCCTCTTCACCATCAAAAATTACACAAAAATGCAATAAACAACAAAGTGCAATATTTAAGTCCTCTTGTGGTGAATAAGTACCATTAAAGGCCCCATAGAACATGTATTCAGGAGGAGGGGAAAGTCCCAAGTTGTTAAAGTTTCTTTTTTAGGTCACTCACCTTAGGTAACTCCCATTCTGATCGGGAACCATCAGCACTGTAGTAGTATGGTCTACCTTGTTCATCTGCATGTTTTATCCACTGCAGAAAGAAATGTGATGATACAAAATGTAATCAGAGTGACAGTTGAAACAAAATCTCTGAGACCTGAGATTTAAAGTTAATTTTTAATAAAGTGCCATCCACTTCAGCAGTGTCTAATGCACAACCTACATTAATTAACTAAGGTTAGATTGCAATGAGAACAACATCCTGAATTGGGTTCATTAACATCTTTTCTTTCTGTAACTCCTCAGAAAACAGTCCTGCAATATCATACAAGAGATTGTGATAAATAGATATTCTTTTAAGATGGCATATATATTAAGATGGCACAATCTTTCCATCACATCCGTGTCAGAATCTTATACATAAAATTACAAGAAGCTCAGTCAGCAACTGCTGATAATTTAAGAGATATATGCATTTGTTGAACAACTTTTAAAAAACATTAATGGGAACATGAGATGCAGTTCCTTGATAAAACACGAAGACAATATCATTCCTGTAACCTCTACAAGCAACTCCTACAATCAAAGAGGTAAACCCATGACAACTGGGACTGCTCATGCAGAAAGGAAAGAATTGTGATGAGCAAAAATCTACAAGAATATTGCAGAAAAATACGCACAGAAACACTCACAGCAAGGCTCTTGGCTCAAGCAAGTTTCACAAAATCATCTTCCAATAAAATGTGATAAGAAACACTGTTCTCTATCAATCCCAGTGCAATTTAAAAAAATGTCAGCATATTTGCTAGAACAGAGGTACGCTCTCTACAGATGTTCATCAGAAACAGATTAAACAGGATAAAATTCCAAAACTGAGATAAAACTCAATTATTTAAAAACTTCTTGCAAATAAAACTTGTATACTTCAACTGGAGAAGAGGTGGTGCTATAATACGATTAAAAAGGACAGTTTCAGTGAATACTTTTGAAGTTTAAAAAAACAAAATGCAACTTTAGTCAACAATTAGAAAAATGGACTGCTTTGCAAATATAGGCAACTACTGTTCGTTATCCTATGTGGGAGAACTTCTTATGACATGCCCAGAATAACAGTAAGTTGTCTGTAGCAATTAGACAATAAGAATAGAGCACAAATCTGCTGATAAGGCTGTAGTTTAATTACAAAGTTTGTCTAAATCTGAAAGCAGTATCGAAAATATCTGATAAAGGAAATCATGAAACTGATAAAGTTGTATTATATTATATTCAGTTCAAAACCATCCTGACTGGACGGTCTATGTAGACAAGAGCAGCTCTGAAAGGACAGCAAGAAGTTCATTCCTGAAGTACAACCAGGAGGATGGGGGAGGGTGGAAATTACAACTATACATAATATGTTCATTTAATAACATCTAATATGCAACTGGAAATAAGAAAACTTTTTAGATAGCAAAGAACATACATACAAAAAAAAGTCAGTTCAGTTGCTAAAGTTTCATGCATATTTAAGAAAACAAAAGGAGATACTCCTGAGGAATGCTTTTCACTTTTGGAAATGCAGATTTCATTTCTAGAAGTGAATTAGTGGAAAAGATTTAGAACACGTGATGAGAAGAAAGAAAAAGTACCTTTTCATTAGTATAGTCATTGGTATATAGGGTTTGACCATGTTCATCCAACTCTTCTGACCAACCCTTTGGAGGAGAACCATACTGACTATCTGACTGGCTGTAACAAGAACTGTGGTCGTTTTCTTCTGATGAAAGATGCTACAAGTAGTCAGAAACATATAAGGCAGTTTTGAGAATGAAAGTGCTTTAAAATCTGAAAGATCAAAGATTATTTGACTAGAAAGAGAATAGTAATGAATTCAGGGAGTTCACATTTTATATCTTACATCAGAGAATGAGATGCATTTTCACAGTACAGACAATTCAAAGTATATTCAGAACAACTGGTTTATACTGATCCATCTTTTTTTTTATTTCCACTATACCAAGTTTCGTCTACTCAAATTTAAACTCCGGGGTTTTTTGCTTATCTAAATCTTATTCGTACAAATTAACATTACTGAATGATGAAGAGAGTTAGCTTTGGTAATCTGCATTGCCTCAAAAAACCTGGGATACCTGCTAACTTGGTTTTCTGGCAATATCACAACTTTCATACCTAAATCCTTTCTTGTTTCTCAAATACATTTGGAAACACAATTATCATTAAGGACAACTTGAAACTCCAGTTGCACCTTTTTATGCCCCCACACTTCACAGTACTTGAGCCATTCATCCTAAAATACCAGGAATTTCCACTGTCCTTTTTTCAACTCTTACACACGTGACAAAGAGCAATGCAAAAGCAAGGCTTTCTACCAGACATAGCTAGTTGAGATGCAAAATTATTCTCTGAAGATAGAAGTGAATTATAATGTGTGGAACAAGTTTGACGTGCACAATACAGAAAAAAGATTTTGCACAAACGTCAAATAATTTCTGTTCCTTGTAAACCTTGTTCGTCTCCTTGCTAATGTATTGTAGTCTTAGTCTAAGCATCCATTCTGTGCATCAAAAAAAAATCTCCTTGTTTTCATCTCCCATAATATCTCTATGCCATGGTCTCCTGAGGAATTCAATGTAGATTGCCTTTCACAGTGTCTTGGATCCTCAGCTAGCAGGAGGCATTAACACTTCAGAGGGAACATCCTGCTACTCAGAAACTACAGCAGTAAAATACTGACTACTGTTCAGTAACACTAGCATAAGAGTTTTGAGAAAAACTGTAAGGAGAAGACTGCAGGAGAACAACAGGATTTCAGTTTTAAATAGGAAAAAACCTCTCCTAAGAACTTAAATCTTACAAAAAAATATTCAGTTATCAGAAACGGTTTTTAAAAGTCAGTGGGTTTAGAAACTACACGTTTAGTGACATTTCCAAATGATTACTACACAGGTTTTTGGTGGTACTTTTCTGAGTACCTTATCACTTGTGTGACAAACTCCCTCCACTGACACGAGCCAGCTTAACAAGCACAGCAAAACCCACAGGACATTTTCAGATCATTAATAAAGGAACATGAAAAAAATTTAAGTGCCCTCCACAGTTTACAGAACGTGAGCATGTAAACTATGGATTTACCAACGCTACCTCTCTTGCACAGGGGATAATGAGAAATTCTGATGTGCCAATTTCTAACCACTATGGGGAGTCTTCAGTCCCATTTTTATACTTGCAGAATTAAGACTGAGGAGTTGTTGATATTGGCCCCACTTGAACTACTGTTTTATAAGATAACTATATTGTATACATGGGCAGGATGAGCTCGCTAGCCTTCTGGCAGTCATCCTAGGAGAAGGACAACTCTAATTCCAAACCCAGGCAGATGGAGCTCACTTAGCCCTGTAAGGCCATCCATCTAAGAGAAGGTCACTCTAATTAAACCTATGTCCTAAGGACCTCGCTGCCACCGTCCAAACTCGCTTGGCCCTGGCAGATGAACCTTAGGATTAAAGGGTGGGTCCAGTTCCGCGCATGCTGCGTCTCACCTAAAAAATCCACTGCGCAGGCTCAAAGGTGAATGAATGATATTGTATACATGTATTTTGTTTACCTTGTTTTAATGGTTAAATATTAATTGCATTGCCATATGGTCAAACTAGTAGACTTTGGACATTTTTATTATTACTATCATTGTAATGATATATTGCATTTGTATTTGCCCCTTCCAAGCAACTCCTATACTGAAGAAACACCCTACACATGTAAAACTAAACAGAAGACCTAAAAATGAAAATTCTCCTAGAAAAATAACTGCTGTTCAGTAAGAATGACTGTTAATGTGTCTATCTGTAAGGCATCCACATAATGATATTTAGATGCTTCAAGGTTTAACTCATGTCCTGTACCTTTGCAGATCTAAAGTTCAACAGAATTCCTGAGCTGTTACAAAGCTTGCCAAGCCAAGGCATTCCTTGTCGCTCAGCTAGCAGGAACAACTGCTAGAGCTGCATCGACAGGGGTTAGAGAATGCTGGCCAAACCACATTCAACAGCTTTCAATTTCACTTTCAACACTTTTTCTGTATTAACTGCCTATATGCTTTTTAAGTATGATCCATGCTTTTTTCCCCAGTCCCATCCCCAATTATACTACATCACACTTAAATAAAGCCATCTTAAGCAGACAATTGCCCAACCTTTCACCTTGTAAGAAACTTGCTGTGACACTAAAGGGAATTACTGAAATGGTCCCCTACATTATCACTTCTTTGCTTTTTTTCCATTTACCTGGAAAATTCTTGGGGGCGGAGACCAGTTCATCACCATGCATTTAATAGGAACAATTACTGTCTCTCTTCTATCACTTAACTAGTCTAATTTTTAAAGTCACTACTACTTCTAAAAGTGAAAATAATAGAGAACATTAACTAAAGAAGCTAGCATCCCTATATTACCATTTGTTTGTTTTGGAAAAAAAAAACAGGGAATGAAATTGCACCTTGGTCATATGTTTTAAATGTAGTTTTGAATTTAAATGAAATTCCTTTGCTTTTCTATAGCTTGTTGGGTAATTTATTGACGTCTGCTTCATGTTATGGCCTCCTAGCTGGGTATTAGAGGTTTGCCCTTCTCTGATATGGTGACATTCTCATTCCTTTTACAGTCCAACTTAATTAAATCACTTCACTTGACAAATTTCTCCTAGTTACTGTTAAGCACTCCTTCCTCAAATACCTTAGGAAATCACTACCTCTAATACATTTTATCTGCAATTCCAAAATCTATACACTTTCCTAGAGGCCGTGTCGATAGGACTTCACTGCTTTCCCACATCCCTGCCATATAACATATAACAACCATACAACTGTCATAAGCTACAACTGTTTGTGCCATGTCTGTTACCAACTTCTTTGACAAATTAGGTGCAATTCTGTCCCTTCTTAATTAGCCAATGAAATTCAATTTCCTAACCATAAAGTTCTAAGACTGACTATAAACTATTTCATGTTCTAACATATTACACATATATTAGAATATGTGATCATTCAAAGTTCTCATTTTTACATCACCTTGACATTTTGCTACCTAATATGATACAAGTTCCTCTGAGGACAAACCAGTAAAGATACAACTAGGATTTTACCTTCCTGCATGTACTCTTTTATCACTAAATGAGCCTAACTCAGACTAGTGTAAAAAACAACTTAACTTTATTATAATAAATTAAATCTAGTTTTACTAATTATTAGGACATATTTACTCTAATTCTTCACAATCAGACAAAATTTGGGATGCCCTATATTTTACTGTAGCTTAGGCTTGGATCTCAACCTTTACTCTATTTTTTTTTTAAGTACTTTTGACCAAATCTTAAGTTTTGATCAAAAACAAAAAGGAACACAAACAGTGGAGTGTGATGTACAATCTCAAATGCAGAACAGAAAAGGCAAGCGGGGGGAAGGGAGATCAAAAAAAAAAAAAAAAAACAAAACCAAAAACCAAAACAGCTTCAAAATCAACACATGACTGCTGGTAAGTGGATTGAGATGACTTTGCAACATGTATCTCCCTAGACTCAAACTTTGATAATCCATTCAAGACACAAATTACTTAAGGAGCTTATGCTACTGGAAATACAAATTAGTGTCTAGTTAAAAATCAAAACATGTATTATCATCCACTGGTCTCACAAAGACTGAAAACTTGATAGATATAACAGTCTGAAGGCCAATCTGTGATACCTCAAGCATCACAAATAAACAGAAGAATTGAGCTGAAAGATGTTACGGGCAATAAAAAAAAAAATTAACAAAATCAAGCATTCTGAAGATGCAACCATGTGATGAAATGGTACAGAGGTATGAGGAAGAATCAAAGGAATCACTTGCAGATGGGAAGCAAGAAAGAATTCTTACAAGACCTTCCATGAAAAGAAGGAAGAATGACGGCAATGAGAAAACCAGTTACATTTACTACAAGGAGAATTACTACTCAAAAAAGTAATCACCTTATCCAGATTAAAATCAGAATCTTATCCAGCAAAAGGACAGTCAGTGATAAATTAATAGACCATCACCAGAGATATTAAAGGGAAAGGCACCAACATTTCACCTGTTTACCTATTGCTGCAATTAGCCTGTGGCAAGAGAATTTGGCTATTTAAATGCTTGAGGATGTCATGGCTACTATGAAGACCATCGCCAAAGGCAATGAAAGGTTTCCTTTTTCTCTTTCTCTCCTGTTTCTGTTACTACTGTTCCAGGGGTAGACTTCTACGACAGGCTTCCAGCAATCAAAAACTTTTGATCAGTCCACAGTTGGGAGATATATATATATATATATATATATATATATAAACTATATATACTATATATAGTTTATATAAATATATTGGCCCAGGAAAAAAATCCACCTAAACTATATATATTTGAAAAGGGTATATAAAAATGAAGTGTGTAGAAGATTTCTTGAGAAGTATTTGTTTTTTCTTTCAATCAGGAAACTGGTTAACCTAAGTACTGTTTGAACACAAGAGCACTATTTTAATCATATTTAAATAGTAATATACAACTCACAACTATTCCTTTGCTTAATCTGAACCATTGCATTTCAGATAAACAGACATCACTGTCTGGCTTTCCCTACCAACTGGCTGCACAGAATAAATTGACACCTCAAATATTATCCAAAATTATCTTTTAACACAAATAACTTCACAGTAAGCTTCAACTCTCTATTAAGCAAGGTTGGCAGCAAAGCTTTCCCAAAAGCAATATGTTTATGTAATGAAAAGAAATCCATTGATATATCTAAAAAAGATGTTTATGGCCTGAAGATAATTTAGTCAAAACCTGCAATACCTGCTGAGGAGCTGTTTTTACAGGCATTTTTACAACTTAGTACTCTTGTACACAGTTCATGTACACATTCTTGTACACAAAAGTAACTGAAGAGTGAAACTGCTGACTACTTCATACCAAGACACATAACAAAAAAGAGAAACTAAGACACTCCTTGACACCTTGAAACTCAGAGATACCAAATTCCACAACAAAAGAGCATTCATATGCATTACAATCTCAATGCTTGTGATCTCAGAAGGAACTACCTCATGATCTGCATGGCTCTGGGGATCCCCTTTATTAATGCTTGCATCTCGGGCCCACCGTGGAGGTTTCCAGGTTCGCTCCTGTGATCCTCTGTTGTAGTAATAACAGCGTCCTGTCGTATCTTTATGGGTTTCCCATTCCCCATTTATTTGGACCGGAGCACTTGTAGGTAGTGGTGGAAGTGCAGACTGAGATATTTTCAGTTCTTGCAAATTAGCATAAACTGGTGAATCAGGCCTCCCTTGGCTTGGTGGAGTAGTTGGCTATTGAGAGAAGAAATGTACTGTTAAAGAGCAAATGAATTTTTGAATGCTCCCTTACAAATCAGAATACAGCAGCAAAACAAACCAACAAACTCCTCTTTTTGTTGTTAAGTACAAAAGCACAAAGAACAGCCACAAGATGCTGGGGTGGGAGAATATTAGATTGTTAATTCTAAGGTAGATATCACAAGCTCTCTTTACTTAATGCTGAACCAATTTCTCAGCATTTTTCCAGATGACAGCTGATAATTATGTCTTAAAGTGGATTTGAAATACACTGGAGTCATCATCAAAAAACTGTATGCTTGCCTTGCTGGAAAACTTCAGCTTTACTGTTCAAGTATTGCTTAGAAACTGTAAGTAACGTGATCTTGTTCAAAAAAAACCAAAAACGTAGCATTTCTCAGATGCCACTTGTTAGGCAAAGATTGTTCCTCAACCTTTCCTCCTCACTGCTAATAAAAGGATGGTGAATGTAAAGTAGCACTTTTATTTTCTCAGCACGATCTAAACAGGAAGCTCAGCTGGAAAGATGAGCGCAATGTTGTGACTAAGAAACTCTGAAAAACACCTGGACAGTTTACCTGTATGCCTTTCCAAACAGATGCTTATTTAAAAATATTTTAGGCAACACTACCAAATGTTTTGATTAATGCTCTCTTCTTGTAGAAATTAAGTGGATGTTCTTACCCACCTGATATACATGCACAAAAGAAGAACAACAAATACCTACATTGACAATTTCTCATTAATAAATAATTTTATAACATAACAGCCAGCAGAAATCATGGTTAGAAGTCCACAGTACTTTCTGAAACCATGAGTACTTTTAAATAAGCCACTAAGGTGCTTAGGAGAGAAATAAAGTTTCAGATGTTCAAATTTTAAAGTATAATACAAACATGCAATTCAGAATTCAAGAGCATGTGTTTTCACAAGAGCTGTGATTATAAAATCGTGAAAGCAGATAATTATTAAACCAAATTGAAGAGTTTCTTGGTAATGCAATAGCGTCTCCATACTTTGGGGCACATTATTTAGGCACTAAAGGAAGAAACTATATTATTCATACCATCCCCTTGGTTTGAATTGAGAAGCTTTGCTGTAGGCAAGTCCTTGTGCCTCTTGTTGCTATTGCATTATAAAAGATCTTTTATAAAGTACTTTTAAACATTAAAATCATAAGATGTTAATCTAGGCCACATCTAATCATAAATTATCAGGGTTTGCTCAGGCAAGACAGCTTATCATACCACACAATCAGATATAAACTGATTGCACCACAGCTAGAACCAAATATGGGCAATATCCACAACCAAAGGGGGAAACAGCTAGAGAGGAACTTAATGAGATTATAACGGGCATGGACTTGTTTTGCATGCCTTTAAAAGAGAAAACACAGCTTACTAGATATAGCAAGTACAGTACATTTAAGGCAAACCACAAGTGCTAAAAAAAAAAAAATGCAGCACTGGTAAAATCAGAGACCCAAAACTAATTAGTACCCTCCTCTACCTAATTCAAAGGAAAAATCTGCTAAAAAACTTGATGAACAGTAAAAGACTATTTTTCTACTATCCAGGTCACACATGTCTGCCTTTTTTTTTTTTTTTTTTATGAGAGGAGGGTAGAATGGCTGCCTTTGGTAGAGTTGATCTTGAGAGCACTGACAGCATAAAGAGCGCTACTATGAACAAAGCATCATCCTTCAGGGACGACCCTCGATTTCCCAGGATGCTGGGGCAGAAACCTAGATGTCTCCTCATGCAAGACTGCAGTTCCTGCTTTGGTTTCCCAATAGCCTGCAGAGCTGCATTTCCCGTGTAAATCATCCTGCCACACAACCACAGGGCTTGTCATTGAAATGACACCACACACCTGCACCACAGAGCACACAAACCTTCCGCTGCTTCCCCTGTTTCAAGGAAGTGGCACCTCTAAGCACCCTGGCTGCTGCAGTGGGAGGCTGGTGGCTTGCACAACTCTCACCTCCTCCTGAAATTCCTCTTCCACACAAGACAATAAGAAGGCTTTCTGTCTGGACCGCACTTGCCAGTTGCTTTTTTTTGTTTTAATTAGATGCCATCATTAAAAGAACAGTTCTGTGTATTAATAAAAGTGTTTTCTATATAGGCTGTGACACAGAATGCTTAGTATAGTTTTAGGAACGTTTTCTCAAGTAGCACATAGGAACACAAGCAGCACAACTCCAGATGAAACTGCAGGACGTGGATGTGCTAAGCCAATACTGGGAGCTCACAGCCAGTGTACTGCCACACTCCAGCAGCATATTAGTGATGTTTAAAACACTAACATGATACGAAAGTGGAATGAGGGATTTTCTTCTGAATGCTTAGTGCTTCCAAACTCAATATACCAACTTCTGATTTTCAAGGAAAAGCCAGAATTTTTGTCCTAAGCAACAAGACAATCCAGCCAATCCTCCAGCTACTTTCATTCCCTATTGTTCTCTCTTCTGACAGACTTTTAAGGGAGAATTGCAAGATTTTTGAAAGGCCCTCGGAAGTTACTGCTTTCAGCAAAGAATTTAAAAAAAAAAAAAAAAAAGCAAATCCACCAATCTGAAAACAACACATAGCTTGAGTACATTTTGAGAGATACAACTTTATCAGGAACTATTTTAAATAACCACGTAGCACACAACAATACTTCCTCATACGTCAAGCCATGTGATGAGATTTGTTGTTGTGTCTACAATTACGCTCGGTTCAACTGCACCCAACCTTATCAAGGCCAATTTTGTCAAGAATTTCTTATTTATTGATAAGAAAAATAGCTTTTAGAAAGTTCAAAGTTTTCTGTAATTAACTTTAGTGTACTTTCTACACCAGTGTTGGCAGGAAGGTCAATCTCCCCCTCGCCCCCATCTCCCCACGTTGGGAAGGGAGTCCTGGAGGGGCAGGTCCCCACAGATGTCCCTGTAAAGCTCCAGGGCCCTGCATCACCTCCCCCTTTCCTTTCGGATGACCATTTTTTGAGTTCAAGACTGTGTTCTGCAAAAACATTTAATAGTTCCAAGCCAAAAAGTGGATTAATTTAACTGTATTCCTTTCATTTACCTAAACCATTACTCACTGCCAATATATAAATCCAAATAGACAAAGCATTACCTAGATCAAAATAGTTTCTGACCACTTCCATGGCTGTTTTCCCAAAACCAGACATACGCAGTTAAGGGAAACTTAAATATATGCTAAACACTAAGCAAGACTTCCAGCTAGAACTTCACCCCCCCGAGGTTCTTTTTTGCACTAACAAACTCTGAATGCTCATAAACATGGAATTAAATCTGCCAAAAGAGATTCTTTGTCTTCTCACTATCAGAATCACAAGAACACGTCCTTCAACGTGCCCATGCACGCACACACAAAATGACTTATACTCCAAACATTTCAACATTCATTTGCTATTTGGTATGGATTTCAGACTTTTTCATGTTGCTTTCTTCTGCTAAGAACAGTGAAGCACTCTTGCTAGAAAAGCGATAAAGAAAAATTAGAAAACAGAAATACTTCTATGACACTACACCACGAATGAAAATTGTACACCCCATTAAGCAATCTGGCAACTTCAAGAACATAAGGACCTCTCCCAGAGCTCAGCAATGCTCTGTATTATTATACTATAGAAATCTGCCACGTTTAACTTCGGTCTCTCAGAAAAGTCTGCTAGCACTAAATCCTTGCAAATTGATAAGAAAAAGAGTTTCATGCAAGCAGGACAAAGTTTCTGGGATCAACACACAGCATTCTTCAAGTAGAGACTGCACACAAAGCATTTTCACAACACAGATTTTCTACTGGCACAGTAGGAAGCAGATACGTGCCTTTAAATAAAACAACCTGTTAATCATTCATGAATGAACAGTCAACATTTTCAACAAAGGCCACAGATATGCTATCAGGCCTCTGAAAACCTGAGCTCAGTGCAATGAAAAGCAAACCTTCTTCAAAACATACTTTTCGTTACCAAAATGCTTATCAGCTTCACAGAGGTTACCTTAAATTTTAATGTTACCTTTTACAAATGGATTTTTTCAGATGGCAGTATTTATTTAAGCATTCAAAATTAAAGTAAACTAAAAAAAAAAAAAGTTCAGTGTACTTAAGCAGGGTAAGTCTTCAGTTCTGGGAGAAAAAGAGAAGTATAGATGTCTTCCCTAACCAGCACCTGAAAATGCTTTTGGCTTATTTAAAGGCAAATCTCAACACTCTTTATGAAGTTACAAGTAACAGATTGTCCATACTCATTCGAAAGAAGAGCATTATACTAAAGGAGAGCAAGGGAATACTGTCTCTTCACAGCAGCAAGCTGAAGAAAGGAGAACAGGCACATCCCTCAGCATCCTGAGCCAGGGAATGAAGCATCCGAGTTCCCTCAACAACTGAGCTTCTTGCCAAGGAATTGCCGCTGTCCTTTTACGAAGCCCTGGGACTTCAATACCAGCTTTATTCAACAGAAGTGATACAAAAGAAATCTCAAAAACTCTACAGTTTCATTTTCACAAAGTGACATCTTCAGCTGGAATAATTAGCTCATCTTCTCCTTCCTTTTCTGCCCTTGGCTTATGTTTTTACAAACATGTTCTGGACTCTATTTTCTTTCTAACAGATACAGGCATATTTAACATTTATTGTAATACCCAAAAATCCATGAGGAAGATTTTTCAGCAAGTCCTCTACTGCCTCAGAAGTGACAACAGCAAGCTAATTTAACAAGTCAAATTGAAATGGGAACCCAAAAAATTTTTTATGCACTAATCTTCTCCAACTTTAGCTGGATAATTCACTCTGTAAGTCTAAGGAACACATAAAACAATGACAGTAAATATAAGCCCGTTAATAGTTGACTATAAATTTCAAATAAGCTCTAGTAATGCAAATGTTATTTAACAGCATTGAAATTCTTGTGGTGTTCAGTTGATTTGCCATTATAAAGTGGTAAGCAAAAATATGACATTATAAAACAATACAGAACTA